CAAATGTCGTTGAGTGCTCTGACGCCGTCGCCGCCTCCAAACATGTAGATGCCGTTTTTGTATAGGCATGCCGTGTGGGCTCTCCGTTTAGACGGGATCCTGTCTCCTATTATACGGGGCTTTGTCCACCGAAAATTGACAGTATCCAAGACGTATACATCATTGTAATACGCCGGGCCATCACCACCTCCGAATACAACGAGCTTCTTACCCACGGCAGTGCAGGTCATTGCGCGTAGTGGCATGGGAATATCGCCTACCACGTGCGGGACAGACCAGTAGAAGGCATCGGCGTCGAGTACATAGACGGTGTTGAAACATATTCGCGCGTCACATCCGCCAAAGACGTAAATATTGGACCCGATCAAGGTTGTCGTGTGAGCTCGAAGATTTGAGTGCGGCGATCCTGATACAAACGCCTTTGACCAATACAAGCCAGATGGCGGGGCGGGTTCGACATCCGGCGCGTCTTTGGGATCGGGAAGCGATGGGAAGGGGACGTGTTGTCCCCGAGGAGGTCGAGTGAGTTTGTTAGATGTTCGAGTTGTTGCCGCGGAAGATGGGGCCTTTCGACTACTGGCAGCCACAGAGGAACCGGTTCGCGAGCCCGTCGTCAGTGGTCGTTTCTTCTCCTTGTCCTTCTCCTTCTCCTTCTCTCCATCCTCCACGGCGGGTTCAGCAGACCCATTTGAAACGGGAGGCGCCTTGGCTGGATATGTGCTTGAGGTGGAACTGGATGCGACCTGGGAGGCGGATTGGGATCGCTGCCTGATAGCGACGTCGGAAGTCTTTCGTCGCTTGTCATTGATGCTCTTGCTGGCGAGATGGCCTGGTGTATGACTCCGCGGCAGTGGGGCAGGTTCTTGATCGGAATCGTCTGAATCACGATATATTGTCGTGTGTTGGCTTGGCGAAGCGCTCGCGAGTGCCTTGCTCGATCGGGCAGATTTTGTCTTGGACGCCTTATGAGGGGAACGCACCGACTTGCCAGAGTCCGCCATGGCATCACCAGCCGAAGCTCATCGCCTCGGCCACCGGGTGATGACAAGCGACGACGGCCTTTGCGTGGGGGGGACACGAGGTTGACGGGCAGGACTGGCAGAAGCAAAGGGCGAGGAATTGGGTAATTTCATCGGGCTGGGAGAGTGCAATTCAACGTCTAATATGGCACAATGAGCTGTTGCCACATGATGGGCGCGTCTGAGGGGTAGCAGCAATGCGGTTAATGCTGCAAATGCACTTCAATTGGGCTGGCATGGTAGTGAGATGGAGCAGGGAGCAGGGAGCAGGGAGCTGTGACGAAGCCGTAGGCCCAGTCGCTCTTGCCCACTTGCTACTCCCCGCGAACCCCACCACATTAAGGATGCGAGCTGTGGCATGCGTATCAACGTTGGCAAAGAGTAGTAGAACGGTGCCGATATGAAACCCCCTCCTCCTCCCCGGGAAAAGAAAGGAAAAGAAACATTGATTCAGATATCCAATTCCTTTCTTTTTTTTTTCCGGCTGCCCTTCCTTCTTGCAGGTCCAATAAACCAGCTTAGCAAATAATATTCAGCACGCAATGACGCAGGTGCCCGCCAACTGTCTGCAACTGGCAGTCAATTACACCAGGCGCCATTTGGCGGGCCCGTTTTTGACACTGCAACTCGAGCATGTAGAATTTTTTTTTTGTCTCCGCCACCTGGTAAGCCCAACTTCAACAATATACTCGGGAGGAGGTTCGAAAGGGGCACATTTCGGCCGCAGCCTAATTTCATCTTCCTTTGAAGCTACTGGTCGCCCTATGATTAAAAGGCTGGTAAGCTGGTTGCTGCCATAATAGCCAGGCCCAGTCGAGTCTCGTGCTTGAGAGTCTCATTTAACCGTATCTTCTGACTACAGGGAACGAGGATTTTTTTTGTTCAACATCACACATCGATCCCGCCATTAGAATCAGCCGCCCACAGCACTTTCAATGCCTGAGAGTGTTGACTCAAAAATGAACGGCCAAGAGCAGGCTCCGGCTCCTGCTCCTGCTCCTACTCCTGCCCCAGAAACGACACATCATGAACTTGATACTCCTGAGCAACCAGCTGCGAAGAGACTTAAGGTGAACGATGCAGCCCATTCAAGAGCAGGTTCAAATTCTACGGAGGGGCCCGACGGACAGGAGTCCCGAGATGTGCCAACAAACGGCAATGACGAGACTGTTGCCGAACCACGCGCCCCCATCGACCGTCGTGTAGGCACAACACCAATTAAGAAGGAGTGAGTACTATGTAAATAACAACTACAACCCATTGCTATCCTAACATGGCACAGGTACCTTCTTGGTGTATCTACATCAAGAAATTCAGAATCAGAGATGGCGGATGACGACGCCGCTGAAGGCCGTGGTGGTGATGACAGAGATCGCAGAGACAACCACGGAGGTGCGAAAGGCAAAAGGGGGAAAAAGGAGAAAAGAAAGAAGGGCCAGAACACCGAACGTTCTTTTGGCCGCTTCGGAGATTCCATCCAGCTCTGTAACAGTCGCGCCATGTACCCCGAATTCTCACCTCACCCGTGCAAATTCGGTGACGAGTGCCGCATGTCCCACGACTTGCGAAAGTATCTCGAAGAAGGACGTCGCGAGGATGTCGAAACCTTTGGCGGCAAGTGTCCCGTATTTGAGCAGTACGGCGTCTGTTTCTCCGGCTGGAAATGCCGCTTTGTTAAGAGCCACATGAGGGAGCTGGAGCATGAGGACGGCCGAAAGGAGCTGGTTCTCATTGATAACTCAAACAAGACGGAATCCAACGGCACAGTGCCCATGGCAACGTCAACCAAGGTCTCCGGTGGTGATGAACTTGATGAGCGCCGAGCAGGAATCTACAACAACGTCGCTATGAGTACCAAGATTGACCTGAACCGTAAGCGAATCGACTTCGCCAAAGCAGACGAGTACATCAAGTGGATGAACGACGAAGCCACCCTCAACAACTCGTTCCACCATCGTCGCAAGGACCAGTCCAATGAAGGCATCGAGGACCTCCGCGCCCAGTTCGTCGACCCCCCTTTCAAGCCCTCCGAAAAGCGCCGGCTGTACTTTGGTCCCGAAACACCCACTCTCGCACCGCTGACCACCCAGGGAAACCTCCCCTTCCGCCGTCTCTGCGTCGAACTCGGTTGCGAACTGACATACTCCGAAATGGCAATGGGCATGCCCCTCCTGCAAGGTACAAAGGCAGACTGGACGCTTATTAAGGCGCACGAATCCGAGATCCAACCGCCCGCCTTCAAGCCCAGCAGCAACAACTACGTCTTTGAAAACTACGACAACTCGCGCGACCTGCGCTTCGGTGCCCAAATCTCCGGCAACCAGCCCTGGATCGTCACCAAGGCCGCCGACGTCCTCAACCGCTACTGCCCTCACCTGCGCCTTATCGACCTCAACTGCGGATGCCCCATCGACATGGTTTTCAAATCCGGCGGCGGCTCAGCTCTTCTCGAATCCCAGGGCAAGCTTGAACGTATGATCCGCGGCATGAACGCCATGTCCGGCGAGATTCCCATCACCGCCAAGATACGAACGGGCGTGAAGTCGTCTCGCCCAACGGCCCCCTCTGTCATCTCCAAACTCGCCTTTGGATCACGCGAGCACCGCGAACGCCTCGGCGCCCCCGGGTGCGCGGCATTGACCCTTCACGGCCGCAGCCGAGAGCAGCGGTACACCAAACGCGCGGACTGGAGCTACATCGGTGAATGCGCGGCCCTTATCAAGACCTACAACGAGCAAAGGGACGCCCTGGCCGACACTGCCGCCGAGCCTGACGCGAGCACCCTCCCCAATTCTAAAGACGGAAGGATGTACTTCCTCGGCAATGGCGACTGCTACTCTCACACGGAATACTTTGAGCATGTTTCCAAATCCCGTGTCGACACCGTCATGATTGGTCGTGGCGCCCTCATCAAGCCCTGGCTTTTTGAAGAGATTCAACAGGGTCAGTATCTCGATAAATCTGCTTCCGAACGTCTCACGTACATTGAGAAATTTGTACGCTACGGTCTCGACGCCTGGGGCTCAGATGAGCTCGGCATCGGGTTCACCAGACGTTTCCTACTGGAGTGGTTGAGTTTTGCGCATCGCTATGTCCCCGTCGGCCTGCTGGAGGTGCTGCCACCTAGTTTGAATGATCGTCCGCCGGCCTATGTGGGAAGGAATGATTTGGAGACTCTAATGGCCAGTGGGAATTACAAGGACTGGATCAAGATTACGTATGTTTTTCTCATTATTATTTTTAACGCTTGGTTTCCCCTTGTTGATGTTGCTAACTCGCTTCACAGGGAAATGTTCTTGGGACCGGTCCATCCTGGATTCGAGTTTCAGCCTAAACATCGGTCGAATGCTTATGAGGCAGAGGGTTAAACTAGATGATGTGACATGGATGAATAGATGAAAGATACACATGTGCATTAAAGGGAGTAACGTTGCTACGCAATTGTGGTTTACATTAGGAGTTTGCTTTGCTTGTACGGCTGAGGTAGGTATAAAAATAGGGAACTATATACGCTCTCGCTTGGGACTGCAATCACGTACCAAGTCACATTCACAGCTCAAGGGAAGATAGGAAAATAAATGAGCTTCTCAACAACAGTTACGTATTCTCGCCGGGATCTGATGATAGTAACTTGAAAGAACAAGCAACGCTAATGCACTTTGGCCACATTTGAAAGGCCGCGTATCTTTCCGTTGCGTCTGCCATTCTGGGTTACACATAACCACCTTTTTTTAACAAAATAAAAACAAAGAAAAGAAAATGAACGGCTATGCCCCTAATCGCAGCATCGAGACGACATGGATTGCCCCGAAGTTTAGTCTGATGCCAGTAGATCTAGTCACACCAGATCTGATTCTGGCCAAACGCTTGCAATAAATAGCAAGACACTCAAATTTCAACAAATACAAAAAACATTTACCTCAACATCCTTCCTCCATTTTATAAACCACAAAATAAAGCCGCCCAAAAAAATGGTGCACCTCAGCGTAATTTGCTCAAGATGACTTCCTTCAGCTTGGCCTTCTCTCCACTGTGTTCGCACAAATCTCTAAAGATGCTGCCTTCGGTCTCCCATAGTTCACGAGGCGAGCCAAATTCAGCAACAGTACCCTCACTCAGTACGAGAATGCGATCAAAGTCGGCAATGGTACTTAATCTGTGAGCAATAACAATGAGGGTGCTGTCAGTAAACTCCTCTCGAATGCTGCGCTGGATGAGAGCATCGGTGGCCATGTCCACAGCGGACGTAGCCTCATCCAGGACCATAACCTTCGGACGCGAAACAATAGCTCGAGCAATGCAGAGAAGCTGACGCTGGCCTTGAGACAAATTGCCGCCAGACTCTGAAATGCCGCTGGACAAGTCGCGGAAGATGTTGGTATTCTTGGGGGCAATGGTCGACCCAGTAGTCGAAGATGCCTCGTTGGCGGGAGTGGCTGGAGCAGAATCGACCAAGTGGACTCGCGACAGACAATCGGTCAATTCATCGTCTGTATGGTCGTCGAAAGGATCAAGATTACTCCGAACAGTACCGGAAAAAAGCACAGGATCCTGTCAATTGCGTCAGAAATCAGCGTCACTAAAGGCTTTACTCGGATAGCATAACCTACCTGGGGAATAATGGCAAGACGAGATCGCAAATCGTGGAGTCGAATCTTGGAAATGTCAATTCCGTCAATGAAGACTTGACCAGACCTAGCTTCAAGGAATCGGAAGAGCGCCAGAGTCAGCGACGACTTGCCAGCACCAGTGCGGCCGATGACTCCGATGCGTTCATTGTTTTTAACATCGAACGATATTCCCTTCAAAACGGGAGGTAAGTCGTCCGCATAACTGACGACAAGATCCTTGACCTCCATAGTGCCAGTGGTAGGCCACGAAGCAGGAGGAATCTCCCCGCCCAAGTCCTCGGTCTCGACTTCCGTGTATTCAATCACGCGCTCGGCAGCATTCATGTCTAATTCCAAGGACGCATACCCTCGGATGGCCATGAGCATATTGCCAGAGAAGTCAAGAGCGAATGATAAAGTAAATCCAGCCATGGCAGCATTAACAAATGAGGAGCCAACAACAATGGCACCAACCATGGTGGTGAAGACGGTCCCTATTAGTGCCATACGGAAACCCAACCAACGATTCAGAGTCCAAATATGGACAGAGACTGTGTCCCAGTTATCAAGGTAAGAGTGCATTTGACCGACGTAGGTCTGAGTCTTCTTGAAGGCTCGCAAGGTAGACACGCCCGACAGCGACGAGTTGAAAAGCTCAAAGACTGGTGATTTGGCATTGCTCTCAATTCTTTTCACCGGCCGTGCGCCAGTCAAGAATCGGATAGCGATGAAACTAGCAACAAATAACAATACGAGCGCCAAAGGAAGCATGAGAGTAGAAACCAAGAGAGCCGCCACGCAGACGCCCATCAGGCCCAAGACACGCCAGAACATAAAGCCAAGGTCCATAGTGATTCGGTTGTCGATGATATCAAAATCGGCGGTCAGACGGTTAAGAACACGACCGACAGGAACGGTGTCTAGCCAACGCAACCGAGTTCGCAAAACTGTGAAGAGAATTCTGCGGAACAGTGTCCTGGCAGCCTTGATGCTCATAATAAAGGACCAGACAAATCGCAAAGTACCAATAATTCCACTTGCCGTAGCAATAGCTACATAGATCCAAAGGTAATACGACATGGTATGGCTATGCTCCTCACTATACGTTACGAGTCGAGAAGCGGAGGCTGAGTGTAGGGTGCTGTGCTCATATGATAGACCATACACCATACCATGTTCACGAGACGCATTCACAAATGTGTGCTCCTCAGAGGCACCTGTCCAAATACGTACCCACCAGTTGCGTCCGAGATTACCGGCTTCAAAGGCAATGAACAAAAGGATGCAGACACCCCAGAAAAACCATCCGCCGCTGCTGCTGAGGAAGGTGCCGTACACACGGGCTTTGACATTCCCCTTTGCACGAGCTTCATCCTCCACGAACTTCTTGGCGGTCTGAGATGGAACTTTGTGCAATGCGTTTTCGGACTCTTCGAGGTCCACAGCTTCCTCAACAGAAACTGCCTCGGAGTTGACGGCGGTTGCGCCGTCAGTCGTGTCTTCAACATAGACTTCTAGTTGAGTTTGTTCGTGGCTCTTAATGAGTTCGAGAGTGCCATCTTCAGCGAGGTCGGACGTAAGACCAGCATGGAGGACTGTTCCCTCTCCGAGTTCGACAAGATACTTGGTGATGGGTTCAACTAAAGCGACATGGTGGGTGACAAGAATTCGGGTTCTGCCTTTGCAGATCGGACCAGATATGCACCTTTCAAAGATCTGTCTGCCAACATGGGCATCCACAGCACTAAAAATATCATCCATGATGAGGATTTCGGCTCGAGAGTAAATAGCACGAGCTAGAGTAAGTCGCCACTTTTGACCGCCACTGAGATTGATGCCATTGGCGCCCAACTCAGTCTTGTCGCCATCATTCAAGATTTCAATATCTCTCTTCAAAGCGCAAACATCAAGAACAGTATTGTATCTGCTCTCAATGAAAGGCAAACCAAAAAGAATGTTGTCACGGAGTGAGGCGCTCTCAAGCCACGGATTCTGGCCAACGTAGGCTACAGCACCGGGAAGAATCCAATTTCCGGGGTGTGCCTTGCCATCATGTCGTTCCAGGGGAGGAACAGTTCGAGGCACAAAAATGTTTCCTTCCAAGAGGTCCGACTCCCCAAGGAGAGCATTCAACACGAGACTTTTTCCCGATCCAGTTTTCCCCGAAATGACGGACAATTCACCGGCCGGGAAAGAAAGATTAACGTTGTTCAGAATGAATCGATCATCGTCTGGGACTTCGTCGTCAACAGGCCAAGCAATTGTCGCATTGTCAAAGGCCACATCGTGGCCTTCGGTGAGAATGTTCTTCATTTCGGGACCTTTTAGATATTTATCGATACGTCTAACTGAGACCAAGGTGTCAATGCCCCCAGTTAGGAGTTCCGGGAGAGCTGATAGCGATACCTCCAAACTCTTGAAGACTCCGATACTGACAAAGGCGACAGATGGCGCAAGAATTCCGTTGACAACAGCGTACACCGCCAGAGACGCTGCTGCAAGAAGAATAGGGCTCGCCACCCAAGAAAAGAATAGCATGCTGTCAGCCTTGAACACATCCTTCAGCGAAGAAATTTCGATCTCTCTCATTTCAAGGATCTTGTTTTCCCATTGGGCTTCCAGCGCTGAAAATTTGATTTGTCGCATGCCTAGCAAGGCCTCGTTTATAACGGCCAATTTATTATCACGGTTCTTCATCAGTCGCGTCTCGGCCTTGAGATAGAATTTGGCGGCAACAGTGTTCGCAGGAAGAACAAGGGACCAGGCCAGAATACCAGCACCAAATGGTATCCAGCCAATGAGCTTAACAAGATAGCCAGAATAAACAAGAAGTTTACCAATGCTACTAATGATGAAGAGTTGCATCATTGCAAAGTCGGCAATGTGTTTGGTATCCACACCAACGAGGTTCACAATTGCCTGGCGCGACTTCAGTACACTGTCTTCATCGTCTCGAGCTTCTTCTTTCTTGCCCTTGTCCTTATCATTGCCCTTTGCGTCATCGGACGATTCGTCCTCTTTAGTTTTCTCTGCGGTTTTAACATTCTTTCGTCGAAGAGATTTTTCAAAGATTAGGGCTGCGAGCTGTCCTCTGACCGGAGCAAACAACTTGGTGATGGAAAACCAGACAATCCAGCCGTCCAGCCACTAGAGCGTCAGTTAGTATGTTGGGAGGGACTCGAAAGGCCATTGGAAACTCGGACTTACCTGTTCGGCGAGAGTGAAGAGTCCCATGAGAAACACGAGAACCCACAGCTCACGAGATGCTACAATACCAGCATCGCGGTCTTCAAGCATCTGGACAAGACGGAGCATAGTCCAGAATGGACCAAGACCAATGATACATCGGAAAACAATGATGGCCCATTGAAATACAAGACGTCTACCGTAGGCTACAAGCAAGGATTTCAAGAGGCTGCCCTGGTAGTTTGCCTTGTTCCAAGCGTCGACAAGCGACTCTGCTCGGATAGTGTGGTCGGGTCTAGGGATATCTTTCTCATCCAAATCGCCCTTTCTCTTGGCCGTCTCCAGGAGGTCATTGGCCCAGCTCCAGGTATACCGACTTAGAACGGTGGTGGACCACTCTGCATCAACTTTTTCGCCATTGTAGAAAACGTCCGGTCGTCGAGGCAGGCTTATGCAAGAAAAGGCCAGGGGAATGAGAATGACGGCATTAACGATTCGCACAATGAGATTGACGTCTTTTCCTGGCGATGCAAAATTGCTCACATGGTAGACTTGGGCAGCACTAACGGCGACAGTGATTAGGGAAGAGAGAAAGGTCCAAAGGCCGAGGTCGTGAGACTTGACAGGCGAATGCTGGGCACCAATACAGACGGCCTGCAAGACAATGGCTGCCTATAACAACGGACCGACAGATTAGTGCACATGTTCAATTAATGTTTTTTTTCTGTTCATTAAAAAAAATTATCGCAAAAAGTCCTAGACAAAATCAATTGCAAATCTATTTAGGAACTTACCCAAGTCCCGGTGGTGAGCCAATTTTCCAAGTTCAGGCCATCACCAAGGGGGTTAAGGATGGACAAAACGGTAGTAGTAACGGAGAGTCCAAAGCCAAGCACAGAAAAAACCAGGATACAAGCTTTCGGCTTCTTGTTCGAAAACGCAGCCATTGACTCTGGCGTAGCCTTACCATCAACATCTTGATAGAAGTTGTCCGGAGGCGTGCGGTGTCGGGCTTGGGCCAAACTGGCAAAGACTCCAGGAAACGTGATGAGGCCAGTGGCTCCCAAGACTGCGGCAGAGAGCGGAAGGAGAATTGGGACCGTCATGTTGACGAGAAATTGGCAAGCTCCTTCCCAAAGATTAACAGGAAATCTCTACAATAACGGTCCTGCGAGAAAGCTCCAGCCTTCCAAGAGGAGCGCAGCAGTCATCAGAGGGAGCAATAAGCTCAGCGAGGGAAATGGAATCGCGATATGCAATGTCGCGGCGGCTCCCCAAATCAGGGTCCGTGATGAGCTATCGCCTCAGCGCAAGTGCCAGGCCGAACAAAAGTAAAGCAAGAACAGGAAAACGAAACAGCTCAAGAAAACGGTTACGAAGTTCAATGGGTCATGAGATAGCAGATCATAGGTGCAGACCTGAACCAGGGCAAGAATATGAGCGAATAGAGGAGTGATAAGTAACTGACGCCAACAGAGAGGGTAAGGATGTAGTTATTCAATCCCAGCCTTGCAGTGGCTGCGCTACACACGGAGTGCAGGAAGCATCGAACTAAACTTTGTCCTCTTGTTTCTCCGTAAGCCAAACCCGTCGACGACTTGGGTGAGGAGTCATCGGGGAGCCTGGCCGGGTTTAGCTCCAACGAACAAGGGTCAGCTTGTTTTTTTTTTTCAAGCCAGGCTGCAAGCCATAAGCGAGTAATCAGTCCGGCCGTTGAGGTTGTGTCTAGTGTCTAGGTGATTCGGGGCTGTGGTCGCTGATGGCGTTCGTACCAGATTTGGCCGCGGACCGTTGCTTTGGGCTTCTCAAAGCCCAGCACGGTACGGAGCACCCCGGTAGTAGGCTTGTTTGTCTCTTTGTGCCATTTTCATGCTCTCTCTGGTCGGGGTAGAGGTAGAGCTGAGGCAGGCCCAAGCTCCAAGACAAAATTGATCCAAGCCAGCACTCAATGGCCGGCAAGTACTCCGTATGTACAGGCTCGAGGGCTGCCTCAACGGGGGTGACAAGATGCGGGACGCTGAGCCGGTTTAGGAAGGTATGAGGTTCAACTGCTGGCCACTCTTCCCTTGCGAGGTCTTTGGCTCTCTGGACCAGTTGAACTGAACTTGACCCTTTGAGTTTACAGCCTCAAAATACGACGGAGCAGATGCCAGGGTTCCTGGGATGCCGGGATGCCGGGATGCAGCATCTGTTGGTCCCATACCGAGTACTGCCATCGCGCAATCAAAAAAAATCGTTCGCGTTGTCTGCAGGGCCTAGGTCCAGTGACCATCGGTGGGCAGCACGGGTGACCTATCCGTCCGTCCAGGTCCGTCAATCGAGAACTGGGGTCAAGTCGTTGTACGTACTCCGGACATATGAGCGTTGAATGCCTGACTCGATCATATCATGCATCTGCAGCGCAATGCCGATACAGCCCTTCAAGAACGACTCATCATGGTGCAATGCAATGCTCGCCACCATGCCTATGACGCAGCGTTTCCGCGTGTACAGCACGACTGATGGACTGGTGACTGCGTTTTCAACTGTCAGCCATGACCCCGTCAAAAGTGCTCAAGCACTCCATACTAGACGGCAGCGGCACCAACGACTACGTACTTTTTCGTGGAGGCATCCACTTGACGTGACACGGACTACGGAGCGGGAGTCCTGATGGAGACGGTACAGGATGTTCAATAAGGACGCAGTGTCTCACCCTCCCGGCGCTTCATCTTGCGCTAGGTCGGTTGGCTGCAGGCGACAAATTTATCACGGGACGATGGCAGCTGCGCTTCTGCCTGGGCAAGGCTACAACCGTTGAACAGCAAATCGATACCTCGAGGATTCGAGGCATTAGGTTTGGCAAGCATTCTTCTTCATCACTCTACCGACCCGATCAACAGTCGACTGTTCTAAACCTTGAGCACTCTGCATAAACGCGATAGACCAAAGACAAGAAACGGGGCGATGACTGTGGAATTGCAGCTCCTGTCAATGCTCTCCTCGATGGAGAATTCCGGTGCACACAGCGGAGATGAGTCACGATCCAAATGACCCCAGGTGGTGTCGATCTAGCTCTTAGTGCTGAGCTGGTTGAAATTTTCGCACTGGCTGTCTCATCCATGTGCAATTGCACACCACTCCATCGTGCCTAGCAGTATCAAAGAAGCAAAATCTGTCTGTACAGATACTATCTGCTGAAGTGCGAGTTGCAAATTCGACAAGAACTACGCGAGATACGCGCACCACAAAGGGACCAATCACGCACGCCTCAGTTGCCGTGCTCAGCCTGGCGTTGGCAGCGAATTTCGGTTCAGTCAGCCACATAGTCGGTGGCTTGAGACATGCTATGGGTCTTGAAATACCCTTGAGAGCCTTTGAAATTGTACGAGAACAGAGAAAAATGCAATTGTTCCGATATTCTTTGATGCGTTCCGGACGGGTACTGCGTAAAGGATTTTAGGGCATCAGCCCAAGTTATTTCTTCTAAGGGAACGATTATCTTCGACAAGGTCATACAGTGGGAGGCCAAAAGTATTTGACCAGATCAGATACCTGGCCATCGCGCTTTATACTATCATACATTACAGTATATCAGTGTATACTTGGTGAGGAAACATATTCTGCCACAGACTGTGGCTCTCACCTTCTTCGCGAACATCGATGCAGTCCACGATTGTATTTGTCATTGTATTCTCTATACAGTCAGAGTGCTATTTTCTCAGTAGTTGATATCTACTCCATACTCCAAAACAACTGAACCTGGTGGACACATGCCGTGAGAGACGTGAAGAAGAAAGTCGGACAAAGAAACGATCCCATGATCGTGTTGTACAAGGCTACAGGGTATGACGCGCAATATGATTAGCCGTGGCCAAATGCGTCTCCTACTCCTACTACTAATCAGACATGGCAAGTCAAGTATCAAACAATCGCCATCATGGTCTGCGGAGTACGGGCCTAGCCTGATGACTCGCATCACGATATCAGCCTGCCGGTTACGATGCGCTGCATACTCCAGGGTGAAGCAGAGCGTTGTTCGCAGTGGTCAACCCAGGTCCAGCTTTGACTGTCAAGCTTAATCGACCCCATCCGCCTCCCCAGGAGCTGCGCGGGTATGCTGTGTCACTTGGATTATTGATTTTACGAGTCCTGAACATGCAACAGTAAGAAGTACACTGTCACTGGTCGCTATGTGCCCAGTCACGACAAATGCCCACCACACAGCAACCACTTTCGGGTGTTTTGCAGACGCCAACTTCGCTGTGCAGCATCGGATTTGTCGCTTTTGTCTGTGCAGAAACTGCCAAGGCAGTTGGAATCGGCCCGCAAGTCGGACTGGGAAAAGCGAGGCCGAGGCTGCCACAGGATAGTTTTCCCTTTCATGGTGCACAACCTTGTGTCAACTTCCTGACGAGGATGTCGACGGCTGCTGATTGGGGGCAAGCAACGGGCCCGGTGATAACATAGACCGCTTGTCGGCTCCTCGTCTCGAGGCGACAAAGGTGGCAAGTTGAGGGTGGCGATTGATGTACGGCGCATATGAGCGCGCTCTTGAGGCTGACCGTTGGAAGCAACAAGAGTGAGATTGGAGGTCTGAATGAGCTGAGACTGATTGTATGTGACTGAAGCCACGCGTAATCTGTGACAAGTTTGATTTACCATGCTACCGCCTCGAGCCCGTCATACTTGATATGGTTAACTCTTGATTCGAAAGAGAAACTTTCATCGTGCAAATATAGTTTGCCATGGCAAATCGCGTTTTTAGTCTGCTCCCGATGGCACCAGGAGGATCACCTTGACCCTACACCTGTAACAGATCTGCTGCGCATAACTGGGTGATTAGCCAGGCGTAGAAGCCGCTCCATCAACTATACGACCATTTGAGTTCAGGACGGGGTTGCCGAACAGTATTGTGAGGTTGAGTTTAGATCCAAGATGCAAATCGTAGTAACTACTGCTACATGTTTTAGGCTGTGGACAAAGTCGGGACATGTTGCATGTCACTCCTGGGTGGATTACTCGATATGGAGCATATGGTGGGAATATTACGCCCTAGATAGAATGGAAACAATAGCGATTGAGTATTGTTCGGTGATTTTATCACGAAGAGTGTCCAGGCCAGCGTGAAAAGTCTCACGTGCAGGGCCGTCTGGAAACGCGATGCGGCACGACGACACGCTGAGCAAACATTGGCAGCATAAAACATTTCGTTCTAGCAAAGCAAATGCAGTCAGTCATCAGTGGGGTGACGGTTCACACTGCGAGGCGAGAGCTCGGAGCTCATCACCAACAGCTTACCCCATAAATTACATAGTACTGAGTGCAGGTGGTGCCAAAGGAACAGCGCCAGGACCAGCCACATTGACCAGCCCCAAATTCTATTCCAGACCCGGCTAGTACTAGGTCTGCAATGTGGCATGTTGTTGTAGCGTTGGCAAGGCAAAGCGAAGATCGGGTCGGGCGGCTGCTCGCCACGGTGGATTGGCAGGTTCGTTGTTGTCGGAGTGCATGTTGGTTGTGCTGGGCAGAGTGCTCAGTTGTCTTGGTTCTAGGACTGCATCCGGGCATGCTAGGCCCGGCTTGTGGTTCGAGCGGCTGTTCAAGGCCGATCAATTCGATAGACGCCCGTGGTCGACTGGCGATTGCGGGTTGCGATGAGATAGCTGGATGACTGTTCTAGATGATTGGAGGAGACTCGATGCCTGGTTGCGGGCTGCGTGCGGGCTGCGAGTCTGATTCTTGTGTCCAAGGATCGAGGCCAGGACACCGTAGATCTCTTCCGCCTTGTAAGCCAGTCAGGTCGCAGATGCAGCGTGTAGGGACATGGAGGGTTAAATGTTGCCTTGGACCAAGATGCTTGGACAGATAACCTTAACCAGACAAGATAGTTGAAGTCTCTACCACCATTTGCATGTACATGTACAGAGTACGGAGTATTGACTCTTTCTTGACCAGGCCAGGCCCCACCTCGAACGCGCAGACGACTGGCTCACTTCCTGGCCGGCTGGCTTCCCGTCTTTGTGCAATCGCGGTGCACATTGCCTTCACCAGACTGTTGCAAGTTGGGCGTACGTCTCACGCCAGGCGCCACGTCGGATTCGATGGATCAATGATCTGACTGCCAAGTGACTGCTCCGTACTCCGTACCGGGTGCACATCACTCGGGCGCCGGTGTACATGCAAGTAGAGGACGGGCCACCAACACTCGCATTTGCTGCGCGCCAGGCCTGATGTGCCCCCCTTCGATCCATCAGTCCATCTCGCCATCGTCTTGCCAAGTGGGTGTCGACAACCAGGCTGGCTCCAACCGTAGCTCGTAGTTCGTAGTTCCTTGGCTTCTCGGTGGGCAACAAGGCCCAAGCAACCAAGGTCCCTCGCGTCTTATGTTCTCAAATGTTATGCATCCAACTGCATCTCACCTCACTTGTAATTTCCAACCGCCAATCCGTTTCCTCCTTGTCCCCTTTTGTAGCAACGACCTCGCCAACTCTCTCTTGCGACCTTTGCTCCCTCATCGCTTGCCGTTTACCGCAGGGCACTCATTCTTGTCCATTTACACGAACTCACCACGGTCGAGTGTAGCCGGATTTCAACACTCTGAGAGCTCGATACTACACGCACTTCGACGTGCTCCGTACCTCGACGCAACTAGACAACCCCAGACCCCAGCCGAGCCGCAAGCTACCGTCTAGAACCGCAAACACAAGACCTCCCACCATCAATCTACATCCCACATGCGGTGCAGTGGCCGGCCGCCCTAGCATCCGCCTTTATCACGATGAAAGCCACGCCGCTCATCATCAATTGGCACGACCAAAACGCCCCTCTCTACTCGGCACACTTCGAGCCCGGTGGGAAGGGCCGTCTTGCTACTGCCGGTGGTGATAATCACGTTCGAATTTGGAAGGTCGAGTCCGATGGGCTGGAGCGAAAAGTCGACTACCTTTCGACCTTGTCCAAGCATAACCAAGCTGTCAATGTAGTTCGCTGGGCTCCAAAAGGTAAGCATTGGTGCAATACTTGTCCTTGGGACCGCAACGCGTCTTTCTCGACAACCTTATCTGATGATTGCAATGCATAGGTGAAACTCTCGCGTCCGCGGGTGACGACGGCAATGTCATTCTCTGGGTACCCAGCGAACTACCGCCCTCCAACTTTGGTGGAGATACACAGGACGACAAAGAGTCATGGAGGGCAAAGCACATGTGTCGTTCTAGCGGAGCAGAAATATATGACTTGGCCTGGTCTCCTGATGCCATGCACTTCATCATTGGAAGCATGGATAACATTGCTAGAATATATAATGCCAACTCCGGTAAATGGGTGGAATTCTACATCTTGATAATGCACAGCGAAGCTAATGATAACCAACAGGAACTCTGGTGAGACAAATTGCCGAACATAGTCACTATGTCCAGGGCGTTACCTGGGATCCTTTAAATGAGTACATTGCTACGCAGTCTTCCGATCGATCTGTCCATATCTACTCCCTCAAGACGAAAGACGGCCAGTATACGCTCAGTCACGATGACAAGCCTCCGCGTCTGGCTAGTCACATTAAGGCTGATTTGCCGCCTCGACGGATATCGTCAAGCAGTCCTGCCCCTCCGGACTTTGGTCATCGGGCACAGCTTTCGATGGCAGAGTCGGCAACCTCTGTCGGCTCGCCTGTTCCTTCAGCGCCAGGCACTCCCACATCGATCCCCTTGCCGATGAATCCACCCAGTGTCGTGAGCCACAGCCGAAGATCGTCATTCTCTTCGCGACGTTCCGTTTCCCCTGCCCCAACACTACCTCTTCCCGCTGTGATGCCCATGGAGGCCTCACCTAAGCCGCAGCTAGGCACCAAGAACGCGAGTCTTTACGCTAATGAGACATTGACGTCTTTCTTTCGCCGACTGACATTTACCCCGGACGGTAGTCTGCTGCTAACGCCGTCGGGCCAGTATCAAACTCAGCACCAATCAGAAAAGGATTCCAAACCAACCTACGAAGTCATTAATACCGTGTATATCTACACTCGAGGTGGGATCAATAAGCCCCCAATTGCCCATCTGCCAGGCCACAAGAAGCCTTCTGTCGTGGTCAAATGCTCTCCTGTATACTACACACTGCGCCCATCGCCTCCTGCTACGACGCATATCACCATCGACACCTCATCAGCCGAAGAGCAGTTGCCGTCGCTACCAGAGCCCATCTCCAAATCATCTCCCGGTGCTGCGGTAATGGAACCACCGCCGCCCCCAGCGAGTGTTTCATCTGAGATCAGTGCTTCCCAGTCGAAGCCTCTGGGTGTAGACACCGATGCATCGACGCCTGGTCCAAAGCCGGCCTTTTCCCTTCCATACCGTATGGTTTACGCCGTTGCAACCCAAGATTCAGTGTTATTATACGACACACAGCAAAAGACTCCAATTTGCGTTGTGAGCAATTTGCATTGCGCTACCTTTACTGACCTGGCCTGGTAAACAGCTCCCAAAGCCCCCGACGTCCTGACTTCATTGACTAACATAGTTCAGGTCGAGTGATGGTCTTACCTTGGTGATTTCATCATCGGACGGATTCTGTTCTACTCTGTCGTTTGCAAGCGGGGAGCTGGGAGAAATTTACAAGGGAGAAGTTGGACCTCCAAAGCCTACAGCGGCTTCAACTGCCATACCCTCAAATCAAAACACACCAACCCCAACGCCCACAACGAGCTTCGCACCTCCGTCTCCTTTCCCCAATGGTTCGCATCACCAACACCGAAACTCAGCTAGTTCATTCACAGCACCGTCACCGCCAGCCACAGCGCCTGCAGGATCACAACGACCAGCGTCGCCTACACGCTCCAACTCCACGTCGTCAATTGCAACACAGTCCTCGTCGGTTCCTACCGGCGTTGTGAGCAACCCGCCTCTTATTGCAGGCAGTGTCCCAGCCTTGACGGCAACCAATTCTTCCAAGGCCCAAGGCGTCCCCATCACAACCCCACCTGAAACGCCCAGGAGTGCTGCTGGAAGCGTTGCGGGCACGAAGCGCGATGCTAGCGAAAGTGAAAGGGAAGAGATCAAGGAGATAAAGAAGAGACGAATTGCGCCAACGGTTGTGGAGAAGCTATAAAGAGTGTACAATAGGATGGGATTCAATTTGAGTTTTTCGAATTGATAGGAAAAGCTGGGCATGACAAGCTTCTGTACACGAGAACACGAAGGCATAGCAAGAATTTTTGTACATGCATGAATTGGCGTTGATGGTAACGAACTGGAAAGGCGGTTTGAAAATTTGCGGCTCATTTACTGCATCTTGCAATTTGATTCGTAAAGGCCGGGTGAAAGCTTGAACTCTGGTTTAGGGAATCTTTTTTTTTTTTTGGTAATAATATACCAATTAAAGATACTGTACCAATTAGAGGAAACAATAGGTTATAGGGCCTGATACCGGGGCACCTTTGTTTCATGACTCAAAGCAGTTCTCGCAAGTTATGCCATGTATACAGCTATTTCAACACTGGCAGCCAGCCCTTTCTTCGTACGAAACCTTGAACACGCTCATCACGCATGATATCCCCGCCTGTTCGGGCAGTCACGACACTACGTTCGTGTTCGACGCCTCGTACGTAAAAAGGAAAGCTTAGCCTCTGCATTGCGTCTTTTTCGCCTCTTGTATCGGGTGTGGAGGCGGAAGAAGCCGACGTAGACGGAAGCTGCCAAACAGTCTTGCCCCCTTGCAACCGTTCCTGGAACCCGCATGCTTTTCTGTCCAGCGAGAGATACCATTTCCTCTGGTGAATGCTACCAATGGTGTTGGAAGCGCCTGGGTAGGCATTTGTTCGTCGAATCTCTGCGTCTTCCAGCTCCTGCAGCTCCGCCTCTAGAGCTATCCGGGATACCTCTTGGCCGTCGGGTTGTCTACCCTTGGGAACGAGGGTAGTCTCCTCGTCCTCGTCGTCCTCGTCCGCAACGTCGCCAGAGTCGGAACTCGTCTCCGGGTCGGCTCGTTTGACTCTCCTGCGCTTGGTCCTCGGCGCCCTGCTGCTTTTTGCCCTGCCCTCCGCGTCCTCCCTCTTGGTGAGCCGCATGTTCAAAATATAAGTCTCTGGCAGCTTGGATCCGTGTAGCTGAAGCCGTATCTTGCGGTTGTGAAACGCCGCCTCTAGCAGCTCCTGCTGCGGACGCTCCTCGTCGTCTGGACTCGGCTGAGAGGAGGGATCTGCTCTAGGCGCATGCTTGCTCCTCCTGGGGAGAACGGTGTAAGTCCCCGTGTCCCAGATTAAGAGGGAGCCCGTTTGCGGGGATGCCGTTTCGATGAGGTGGTTCCAGAGGGAATGGATACGCGTTTCGGTGGCGTTGCGGTTGAGACGGGTGCTGTTTGGGTCTCCGGGGGGACCGTACATTATGGCCCAGGATACGCTGCTGCTGGGGTTGATTTGCAGGCGTAGGTCGTAGTGTAGGCCGGCGATGGGGTGGTCGTGTTGGTGGATGACGAAGTGGGAGGATTGGCTCGTGAGAGAGCCTGCGTAGAGGGAAGCGTAGCTTGGGATGGGGAGGAGCGGGGCCGGGCAGGGGAGGACGTGGTTTTCTAGATGCGTTGTGAAGTGGGCGAGGGGGTTGGCGATGTGGGCTTTGCCGGATTCTATGGCTGCTGTGGTGGGTGGCGATGGTTTGTTGGTGGTGGTGTTGCATTTTGGCGATGATGGGGCGTTTGGGGGAGAGGACGGGTTCGGGGGCTTGGGCGGAGAGAGGGTCCATTGGAGATTCCGCTTCTTGATGAATGGGTTTGGGATGAGGTCTGCGGGCTGTTTGGTTGCCATTGGGAGGGCTATCAACCTATGTGTGTGATTTCATGGTGACGGTATCCTGACTCCACCGTCGTCTACATGAAGTTGGGTTGGTATGTGGTGATATCTGATAGCGAGCTGGCTGTGGATAATTCAGAACGAGTGCCAAAGTAAAATGGAGATACTAGAGGCAGCCGAATTAACAGAAAATGAGGTATAGTTCAGAGAATGGCAGCTGTAAATGGTGCAAGCGTGGTGTTGAGGTGGTTTGAATTATGTAAGCAATTGGTGTTTTAGGCACGTATTGAGATGGCTGCTTTCGCCACTAGGCAAGTGGAAACTCATCATCTCTTCTCCACGCTTAGAGTAGATCATTGATAGTAGGTAATTAGTCGTTATTACACACACTATTTTTAAGCAACGCATTTGAATCCGCTAGGTCCCTGGCACTTGGACACCTACGTAGCCCTTCTTCACCTAGTCCTCACATGCCTCCCAGCAAGTGATATGGTTGGTACAGAAGAAGAAAGAAATTTATTTCGTGAGAAAAGTGAAAAGAAGCCTTTTTGGTCCTGGTCTTCATGCATGCGTGAACCACTCAGAAAGGCACTAGTGGGATAATGCCAGGGACAGCTGGGTTGGGCAAGTTGCAGGCTGGATGCCCTCACGACATGCATCAGCGGTGCAATGCTGAATGAGACACGGAGTCTTCGTCTGCCGGCAGCCAGAGCCTGATGCTCATTTTGCCCTTTCCAGAGATTTGACGGACACACTCGTCCTCCATGACGCACCCACGGCCAGGCCGGAGCCACGGCCAAACAAGTGTGGGTGAAGATGCCGAGGCACAGAACCAATGGAGCAACGTGAGCGGCCAAAGACGGCGTATGTCCCACTTTTCTCTGCCTCTCTTAAGTCTTTGCATCTCGGGCCCGCGGCTCGGTCACTTGGGCGGGTCCACGGCCGGTGAAGTGGCAGCACTTGAGTAGCCAAGTCCAGTCTCGTCCCCACATCTTCACAAGTCAAACCCAGCGTTCAAGCCTTTTCACCCCAGATTTCCTTATACCGTCGCTCAAATCCACCCTTTGTCTCCCCTCTCCCCGATCCGTGGCCTCCCTGAAGCATCGCATTCATCCTTCCATCTGGGAGTCGATTGTCCTTCTTCGCACACAAGTCTGGCCAGTTTTGCCCTTTTGCTGTCAACTCTGCCCTCTCTTGCATATTGGGAGCGCGTCGAGCTTCTTGTCCTCGGGTCGCTCCGAAGTCGCCTCGGAGCTCGCCAGAGGCAAACAACGGCCTTGACGCAGCTGCGACAAACTCGGCCGTTTGTGCTTCGCAACTCAACTCGGGATACACCTCTCTTGTCCATCCTTTTCTCCTTAATAATCACATAATCCGCGACCATGGCCTCGCCCCCCAAGCCTTGGGAGCGGCCTGGCGCTTCTGCTGCTGCCTCCAGTACGTATTCTTTGTCTTGACGCCCGCTGCGTTCTGACATTCACATGCTAACCACTTGTTCGCCAATAGCTCCTATCCCTTCTACCACAGCCGCATCGCCAGCCGTTGCTGCGAGCGCTGCTGCCGCTTCTTCTGCCGCTCCTCCTGTTCCCGACCGCCCTTCTTCCCTCGCCTCCGCCGTTAATCAGAATGCCTCAGCGTACAGCCGCGTGGGCGTGGGCGCCATGGGCATGGGTGCCTCACCATACAGTGCCTATGGCAGTGCGTATTCATCACCGTACTCAAGTCCGTACTCACGGTTTGGCGGCATGGGTGGATATGGCGGTGGCATGTATGGCGGCTATGGAGGTTACGGCGGCGGCGGCATGTACGGGGGGATGTATGGCGGCGGCATGGGCCCCAACGACCCCAACAGCTTAACCAATCGCTTCAGCAATGGAACTGCAGCTACCTTTCAGATGTTGGAGGGTATCGTAACTGCCTTTGGCGGATTCGCCCAAATGCTTGAGAGCACATACATGGCCACACACTCAAGCTTCTTTGGTATGCTCACCTCACACACAGTCTCTCACCCTCATCTTGATATCACGTCACTGACGCGGCCACAGCCATGGTATCAGTCGCCGAGCAGTTCGGCAACCTTCGCGATACTCTGGGCTCCATTCTTGGCATCTTCACACTCATACGCTGGATCCGCACGCTCATCGCCAAAATCACGGGTCGGCCACCCCCAGCAGACGCAACCGCTCTCACACCCGCCGCCTTTGCCCGCTTCGAAGGCCGTCCTGGCCCCGATGGCACCTCGGGTCCCGCCAAGGCTTCTCGTAAACCTCTGTTCTTCTTCCTCGCCGCAGCATTCGGTATCCCCTATCTCATGTCCAAGATGATCCGCACCCTGGCTGCCTCTCAAGAAGAGGAGGAGCGCCGCCTACAGCAACAGGCCCTCGAAGCACAACAACCCGTTGACCCGTCCAAGCTCGAATTCTGTCGCCTCATGTACGACTACCTCCCCCAGGGCAACAACACGTCCATGGAACTCGAAGCACGAAAAGGCGATCTCGTTGCCGTTCTCACAAAACACGATCCCGCAGGCAACCCTAGTGAATGGTGGCAATGCCGTTCTCGCGATGGCCGCCAGGGCTACCTCCCCTCCACCTATCTCGAGGTGCTGAAGCGTCCCGGTCAAGACGTCAAGGCGATCAAGGCCGCGTCTAGCGACTCTAGCAGAGCAAATTCAATCACGACTGCGTCTGAGAGCCTGCAGGAGGGCAAGAAGGAGTATGCTACCGCTGATGGGATGCAGCGAAGCCATTTTTACTCGTAAAGGGCAAGGGAGTTTAATGAAAAATAAATACCACGCATTGTTACATCTTTTCATTTATGTGTCCAAGGGCACGTTTATATGGGCATTTGGGTATGGTACAGGTTTCGCATGTTATAAGGACGTTTGTTCTCACATAGTCTACTGTTGAGCGCGGGCAAGCGTTCATTTATCAGGATAAATACAACGTATCATAATACAGAAAGCTATCCTTGTACCATGTGCTTTGATGCAAATTGATTGTTCAATTCAATTGCATCTACTGCCGATGACGTAAACAAGAGTCACTGCGTTGTCTATGGTATTTAATACCACGTTTTCAAGCCAGCATTCCGCCCTCCTAATATGCCAAACAATATATGCGATAGGGTCATCGGATTCGTTACATTATCAGTCGTTAGCTATAAGCCACACCATGTAAAAACTTTACCGTAACCCGCGCTCCCATCAATTCGCATCCCCCTCACAGCCGTCTCGCCCCTCCAGGCGCGCAATATAGCCCTTGAAGCTCGAGCTCATCTCTACAACGGCCTCCAAGTGGCTCGCCCGTATGGTGACGACTTCATCCCCTTCGTCTTCAGCCTCGCTCTCTGCCAACGCCAACGCCGTCTGCATCGCGTTCCGAATCTCCCTCCCATTCAACCTCAGCAATTGAACGCCCGCATGATGGAAGACGTAGTCTCTCGCCGCTGCAGAAACATGAATCTTCCCGTCTGAATCGCGCACAAGTCTCTCGAAGCTATGTGCCCAGATGCGCTCCCGGTTCTCGTTGCTGAGGTTCTTGTAGTGCAGCGCGACATGGATCCGGCTGAGGAACGCGGCGTCGAAAGACTGCACCCGGTTGGTGGTGAGGAACAATACGCCGCGGTAGTATTCCAGTGCGCGGAGGAAGATGGACACCAGGCCGTTGCGGGCAACGTCGCTGGCGGTCCGGTGCTCCAGGTAGACGTCCGCCTCGTCGAGGAGGACGAGCGCGCCGTAGCGCTGGCCCAGCGCGAGGAAGTAGGCCAGGTTCTTCTCCACGTCGTCGAGAGAGCTGAGCAGGTCGCCGGATGTAAGGGCCATGAGGGGCCGGTTGGAGAGCTCGGCGATGCATTCTGCCGTTGAGGTTTTGCCAACGCCTGGCTGGCCGTGGAGGAGGAAGATGCGGCCTTCGCCTTTATTCTTGATAAAGTCGTTTCCCCAGGGGGAGAGCTTCTTGTTGACAGAGGCGGCAAAGCGGCTGATCAGGGCTTTGACGGTGCGCTTTATCTTGTCGTCTAGTACGAGGTACTTGAATGCTTCTTTGTCCTGTTTGATATCCGAGAGATTGGAGACTTGGAAGATGCCCCAGCGGCGGGAGGCCATTATGAAGCCGGGTATGAGTCCGCTGCAGACGACATAGAAGAGGTCGGTTGTGGGTGTTTCGTCGATGGCAGGGATGACGGGTTTGAACTCATGGAACATAACTTCTTCAGGGTGATGTTCTCGGTTGGACATGCAATGACGGCAGGCACAACGAGGGGGAGCCTGTGGAAGTTGATTCAAGTCCCATTGGTTCTCTGGAGGTGGTGACCTTGGACGTGTTAATCTTGGTTGGCATTGTAGTTGCTGCTTCATGTCGGGGCAGTATTCGCCAAACCCGGGCGAGTCGCAAATGACACGTCCTGATACAAGTCCCTTTTGAGTATCCTTGATGTGTATGCCTTCATCGACGAGCTCGCCGTTGTATTGCTTGGAGGTGGGCTCTTTGAGAAGTTCCCAAAGCAATTTCCCTTCTTCGATGAGCTTCTGACGCAGGGGCATCCTTGGCTTCTTCCCATCTTGGCCTTGCAGGTCGTCCATCCAATATTCTTCAGGGACCACTGCGAGGCTAGTGATTGGGACTTCACCCTCCCACATCTCTACCGAGAACTTGGTAAATTCCCGGACAAGGGTGTTACCGCGCGCTCGGACAAACCATACATATACGTCGTATCGTCCGTCCAGAGCCCTCGGGGGCATGATGCCACTGACAATGTAGGCGGACCACTTCCCGTGCATTTTGGCATAGACGACCTGACCGGGCTTGAACAGGGTCCAACACCACTCATGCGTGGTGACTGGATTGTGAAGTTTGTGCCGAGCTTCTTCGTCACGTAAGTCAGGTCCAAAAGTGGCATCTAGAAACTGCAGCAGCACATCAATGTGGTGAGACGTAGTCGTTTTGTACACTCCGTCGTGTGTCGATGGCTGGTTACTACTGTAGGCAGCCAGCTCCCGCCAATGATGGTACGATACATAATACGGTGCGTCAATGGTTACTGGCGAGGTTTGGAGATGAATGCTCGGATAGTATGCTACCACGGCTCTTAGAGCGTTTATGAGGTACTTTGAGTGTATGATGATGTGTGAGCGATTTCCGGAGACTCCACTGGCCTCATGGCTACCGTAGTTGATTCCGTTGTATACGATTGGAGGCAATGGCGGCGGCCAGATCGGGACATACGGACGTACGCTGTGCGCATACGGTTGAGAGATGGCCGGGCTGGTCTTTCAGCAATGATTCGATTGACGACTTCAATGACCGGTTGTTCGCCTGACCATCCCTGATCTTGAAGAGGACTCTCTTGGTAGTGATCCGACTGTCAAGCCTGTTTATCAAAGGGCTTGTCGCTTTGAAGGTCTATATTATTGCATCAGTGGAGCCCTTCCGGGCGGAATGAAAGGGATATATGCCCTTACGGTTTACGACTTGGTTTCGCATGTCTAATAGATGGAGTGAGTAGACGACGTCAGGGACTTTGCCGTCTACCCTTAATGTGGAAGGCTTCCCCAATGTAGATTGCATCTTTATCCTCCCAACCTCGTCCGAGTTGACGCTGGAGACTGATTCGATATCTTGGATATCAATGCCGACTGTGGGCATTTTGGAAACGCTAGAGGAGGAAATGAGATAATGTAGCAAAACAAGGGGGAAAATGAAGCTCTCCTTCGTGTTGGGAGAAATGGTGATGGATTTGGAGGATGAAAATATACGATGGTGAGGGGAAGGAAGTAAGCACTTGAATATGTACTCACGCAAGATAACGCAAAGGCTGTAAACGAATTCACGCCATGCATGTCAAAAGCGGTGCACGACAAGACAGTGGAACGGTCAATTCCATCGCAACTCTGATACCACAGGGGGGCAGGGCGAATTTTACGACTTGAGGCGTTGATGAGGCATTTTCTGGTAATGTCTGACCCAATCTACTTGAACACGTATACATGCTTCGCGCCTGCTCCCGCCCCCATTGGGAGCATTGGGATATAGATTTGCGGATCATGTTGCTCTTGGTTATCAAGTGCGACCTCAAGTCAGACAATCCTGCAGGTAGGCGAGGCATGTCATGTCCGCCCGCATGAAGTATGGCTGGTGACCAGTAGTCGAGGGAATTATTAAACTTGGCTGGTTGTATATAAAGGTGTATACTCCGTACGTATGTTTGATACAATGGTCAAAGTGAGGCGACACTGGTCTGTTGGTTGGTCCAGCAGCTACATCGGGTAGTCAGTAGAGTCGTCAGATCTCCAGCTTGCAGCTCCGTCTTCGTAATCATCGCATGCATCCAGTTACACATGAGTATCACATAGTGTCTCCTGGAAGCAATGCAGCCGAGCCAGCCGAGCAGCCGAGCCATTGGTAGGACATAAGACGCCGGCGAGTCTTGGATATTGACGAGAAGAAGCATCCATCATGTATTTCGCTAGGCTTCACGTACCGTCGAAGCCATTTGAGGGTGATATTTTCTGGCCATTGAATTTTTCATGTTGAAATAAAGATGGTTGGAGATAAAAGCATGTGTAGCAGATAAGATCCTGTTGAGTTGGTGTTATGTTGATAAATGATATGTTACTTTATGGCGGTGAGGGTGTTATTCATACTGCCGTCATAAAGGCAGCCAACATTTTCACACATCGTTATGTATGTTACTGACAGGCGGACGAATAGGGTTGGATTTCGGGTGATATGTAATTCACAGCGCCTTTCTCCGCGTCGATAACTCAAGGGAAGTTGTTTTCTTCACTCCCACGACGCACCTCCATCGTATCTTCTACAACCTAGCCGTCGATCGCCATGACAAAAAGCATGCGGTCGGACATAACGCTTGCGTCCCTCAAGGCTGTTTGTCCTGGAGGTGGATTGAGGCAGATTGGAGGCATTGAGTGCTTGGAGAATCCTTGGGACAGTTCATCTGTTGATCTGTCAAGTAAAGAACAAAATTTTACTCAATGCACCGCACCGCAGTCTCGAAATCAGGAGGTGATGTTGCACCAGACGTAGAAATAGTACGTTTGGAGGAGCCGGAGAGACTGATGACGGGCACCAACTTCGAGGTGACTATCCAGGGCGAGGACAACTGATAGCAACGATGAGGGGGTAGTTCTCTTCTCCCACCCAGTTCAAGAGCACGCTGTTTGAATAGCTAGTGACCAGTACAGTGGTCAGCCTGGCAATAGACAGACTGATTTGAGAGGGATTCTCAAACAGGGCTGCAGGCAGCTAATATCAATCTTAATAAGCCGGAATCGTCGAGCCCCAATCCGATTGGGAAATGAGATGCTGAGGGGGAAAACGATCAACGCCTAGGAAGTCAAAGAGGGTTTGATATATTGATATACTCAGTCCCGGAGTGCAAACCAGGCCTTGTCACCTTTCTCATACTATGCTTGGTAAACATCGTCTCCTGGCCGAATCGCGTCATCCTCCATCAGATTAGTTTGGCCCGCGTGTAGTACCGCCGTTGTTTTCGTTTTGTCACGGTTTGTAGGAATGGGGATGAATCATAACAGCAGGTGGTATTTGTAACTGAAGTTGCTCGATTGTGGAACCACGTCCACGACCTAAACCAACCGAAAACCTCGAGACTCTGTTGTGGAGTTCCTCGCTGGCTGTCAAAGTGTAAGAACTGACGATAATACGATGTGTTGACTCCGAATATGAAAGATGCTGGATGAGGAGTAGATATAACCTGAGGCCCTTCGAATTCTGTTGATGTGTGGGAATTGTTCTCTGGCCCCTGGTTGCGAAATTTTGTAGGTTGTTAGCAAAAGCGCCCACTCCCATGCTGTAGGTTTGCCTCATCATCAATGCTAATCGATGTGTCCCTTATTCATTGGCCAGCTGTGGTCAAACATCATGGAGCTCGATCCATGAATACTTGGCCGGACGATACCCGGGCATAGGGGGTCAAGTCGCTTATTTGTCAGTTGCGCATACGACAGACATGTTCAGTCTTGCTCATGAGGCTGTGCTTCTAGCAGTTGACGCAATATTGCTGGCGTGCGCGAGAAGAAACTTGCAGCAGGTGAGAGTAAGCTTGCAAGCCTTTGTCCAACCATCGTCTTGCGCAATTCCTAGCTTGATGCTCACTTCTCCAATCTTATCACCCTCGATTTTGTATGGAAGAGAAAGTGCATTTAGTGACTGCTGAGTCTGCCGTTGTACGTGTGCACCCAATTGCCTCACCAACTCGAGAAATGCAACCATGGCATTATCAAATTTGCGGTGCATGAATGTTAGACCTAATGGCATGTCTCCGGAGCTGTATAGCTCTAAGACATGCTTCTTTGGGGGTGCTTGCATGGCTCTCGAGCCAAGGCGACTCGAAGATGGGCTGGGAACGTCGTATCGAATGATCTTGGACGTGCTCCCCATCGGTTGCGGATCGTAACCGTGGAATCTGTAGTCAAGCTTTTCAGCCACAGTAACAAGTAGTAGCAGGGCGTGACCCCAGGCTGCGTTGATCTCTGGCCAGTCCACGGGCTTATTAGACAGCCTTCCAAGTCTAAGCCCGTTTATGGTGGCAAAACTTCCATCGTGGCTGATGCAAAACGTGTCGTTATAGACGTTTGATCGCTGAAGCTTTTCGAGCAGCTGGGAGTCATGACTGTATTTGGCGTTAATGCTGTCTCGTTCTGACTGGAAATCGGACATTTTCGCAGCGAAGGCATTCCGCCCCCTCCAAAAAATCTCCTCTTCTTTATCTAGCTGGCGGGATTCTTCTTCAAGGGCTAATATCTCCTCGTCGAGAACATCCTTTTCCTTCTCCAGCCGTCGTAACTCGTCCATGGCAGCGACTCTATCCTTCTCGGCCTTTTGGAGCCGCTCCTGGCGAGCCTTCATCTCATCTGTACTAGGGCGTTCAGTCTTTACTTGTCTAAGGTGCCGTACATATGCATCACGCTCCTTAGATGCAACCTCTAGCTTTCTTTGCAATCCATCAACTAGCAAATCTGTACATTCGACGCAAACCGGGTGGTCGATATCGGATCTTGCGGAAAGAATTTCAAACAGTCTATTGATTCTATCCATCTCGTCACCTCGTGAAGACTGTTGGCTGGTGGAAATCGATTCTTGCGTGGAGCTTGGTCTTCTGGCCAGCGCCGGGGCAGCTGTAGGTAACTCCTTGACGGGCGGTTGTGGATGGCCAACTTGAGACTCGGTCAAGTAGATAAATGACATAGTTGAGTCCCGTGGGTGGCCGCCATGATATCTTTTGAAGGTTGGTTGGCCCGAACTTTGCGACACCCGATCGTAAAGAGACCTTCTGGTTTGTTCTTGGGATTGCAATACAGGAGGATCGGCTTGGCGTTTCGCAGACTGTTGCGCTGTTGCTGCTGGAGGGCAATAGACAGTCAGCGCTCTGCTGAATGAAGGAAATTCAAGTAACCTTACATATAAGGAGATCATATGCGGCTGGATTGAGGCCCTCGAGGGACCCGTCCAGCTTTAGTGGCTGCCGACACTTTTGGCAGAACATGACGGTGAAATGAGAGCGGCTACAAGACCGCGACGAGCTGGTGACGGTGAGGGCTCGACAGAGACTCTATGTTAGTACTGTGACATAAGGCTAATCTTTCAAAATGGCGTGCTGAAATGATTGAACGACCGCCAAATACCAGAACATGTGGTGTGGTAGTAAATCTCGAGATGATCATCGACGTTAGGTGTATGGTGGTTCAACAAATAATACAGTGGACTGGCATGAGATGTTGGTGGCGTCATTGGTTGACTAGGGTGGTCCGTCCGCGGCTGACATGCAAGTACGGCGTAGTTAGTGCCTGCTTAGCTGTTGCTCTGGAGCTTTTGCCACTGGTTCTAGTCTTAAGTTGTTACTACTACGTAGTTGTACGATGGTAGAACAGTATGCTTGGCAAAGGAAATAAGAAGCTTACCACACACAATTCTGAACTGCGAATCCACAGGGATACATTTTCTCGAAATGTCTTCAGGTTTGGTATCCAAATCGTCAAAATCCCATTCCTGCCTTACATCGTAGCCCCAGTAGCTTTTGTATTGTACATGTTATACATTCCACCCTAGTATATTTGATCTGCATCCAGCTTCAGTTATTTCGTTCCCCCTCCTCTTCCGAAAATCGCAGACAGAGTATCCCCAAACGTAGCCTGCCCACCCGCCTTTCTCGCCTCCCTCTCTTCCTTTTGCGATGCCCATATCTGCTTGACATTCTTGGCTACGTCAGATTTGGCCTGCAAATCTGCCCTCAGCGCAGCCTCCTCCACCACTCTCTCTTCCTCCGGTAACTTGTCTAGCTTCTCCTTCCACGTTTTTTCCAGTTCTTGTGTTGGAATGACCTTTGTCGCGCTGGCCTTCGGCAGGGCAGGGTCGAATATGGGAATGGGTGTTCCGTCCTTCTTTGCTTGCTCGACGGCGGCTTCGTGTGTGATCATTCTGTCGTACAAGGTGTCGGCGTGCATTTGGATGTCTTCGTCAACCTGGGAAGGCCGGCCGGCTACTGACCCGTATCCCAGAGCTCTGAGGAATCGCTGAGAATTTTTTGGTCAGCTTGCGAAAACCGAAAAAGGGTCGTGAATGAGGAGGGGAAATTTTTGTTCCGGAACGTACGGATTGCAAAGTGTAGCACCTCTCGAACCGCCTTACTTGATTCCGACACATTTGTAGCTGGTCCTCCCAGCTGCCGTTCTTCATACAATTCACCCACTCCTCCTGCTGAATGGCGCAATTCTCTAATGCCGCACGGCCAATTGCAGCCTTGCGCTCTTTGAAACCTTCTAGGACATCCATGAGCTTGTCGTGGTCGCTTGCTGCGTCGGCTTCGATTTGCGCCAACGGCCTGTAGTTCTTCCATAGATGTGCGTATCGGCCATCTTGGTATAAACTCTCTGATGGCACGGCTGATTTATTGTGTTCAGGCTCTGTTTTATCCGCCTTCTGCGCTTCGTCTGTGTGTCGCTCAGGTGTAGCTGAAGTCGAGGTTGGTGACCGATTCGGGGTATATTTTACGGGAGATTCTTTCTCGAGAAATTCGCGAAGCTTGGGGTCGAGTTTGCTTAAGGGATCAGACGGTTTATCCGACCCAAATATGGAAGGAAACCAACCCATCGTGACTTCTCTGTGTGGGTTTGTCTGTAGCTTAAAGAGTTTCCATCGCGGTGCTTGGTTGATCTGCACAAGGTACGAGAAACTTCCACAGTGTACTTTCTATATGACACTGTATAAAGTACTGTATGATGACCCCGACCTTAAATCTGCTAGTCGGCACGCGGAAGGCATTTACGTAGCAATTGGTGGAAATAATACTGATAATTGAGCCTAACAAGTAGTACTGATGTTGAGACAGATTCTGGATCTTTCAGCTCCATGCAACTACTACATAGGTGCCTTTAGACAGTACATCGAAGGATGAAGCCTGAGCATCCTGCCTGCGCCATACAGCCACCAACAATCGCGTCGACGGATGTTTGATATACCTCAATACTTTGGACATCACGTTGAAGATCCAGAAACCGGGCCGATTTGTATGTAATATTGTTGCATTCATGAAAGCCTTTTTTTATTCGTGACTGCAACTACAGGCACAACCATTTTGCCAAACAACTTCCAGAGCCCGACCCTCCAGTGGGAATGACCTATCCCCCCTGATGTATTTCACGCCAAAAATGCCAGAAGAAGAGCCCAATTTAGAACTTGCTGAATTTCTTAACCGCCTTGCCAGTTCGGGGCAGAACACGCAGGACGTTGAAACGAACCTGGAAAAAGCATTAGTATACCTACGACTCGCGTGAACTCTGAATGTCTAGCCGCATGATTCCAACGTACAGTCTTAGAAAGAGGTCGGCACTGGCCAACGGTAACCTGATCACCCTCCTCAACACGGAAAGCGGGGGAAACGTGGGCGGCGAGGTTCTTGTGGCGCTTCTCGTAACGAGAGTACTTGGGGATGAAGTGAAGGTACTCTCTTCGGATAATCAGAGTTCGGTGCATCTTGGTGGAAACGACGGTGCCGGTCAGGATACGACCACGAATGGAGACGAGACCGGTGAAAGGGCACTTCTTGTCTATCGGAGAATAGTTAGTGGGCTGTCCTGATGCGTTACAACACATCGCTGTCTCCAATCTCAATTTTTCCTTTCCCTGCGGTTCAAGACGACCTTGCTAGATAACAATTCATCGGGTTCCCCCACTTATCCTCAGATTTTGAGATCGCGAGTTCGACGTTCAGTTCGCACGTACCGATGTAGCTGCCCTCAATGGCAGTCTTGGGAGTACGGAAACCCAGACCAACATCCTTATACCATCGTCGGCCGCCCTTGCCCGGCCTGGAGCTCTTGGCCTTGGTCTTGGAGTTGAGGAAGATGTGCGGCTGCTTCTGGAACGCACGCTCCGACTGGACAGTCAACTCGGTGGCCCTGAAAATTAGTTAGCGACCGTGAATAAATATATATATATCGAGTCGATGCGTCGGATAGGAATTGTGGACTGACATCTTGAATGATCGTTCTCCGGAGAGGTGTCGTTACAAGAGGGCTGTCGATGAGGGTGGTAAGGCAAGAAGTTGTTTTGCGCGATGGAGGAGTAGGGCAATCGTTCACACACCAATTTTTGCAGCTGCCTCTCAAACTTAGGGCTTGCAAAATTTGGATTGGCCAGGTAGACGAGAGCCCCACACAACTCGCACAAGGCACTCACTGCATTACTTCACGTGATCTTTTCAATGGAAAGTACGTTTAAGCACGTGATGATTGTTTTTGGACTTCGGACTGACTCCACCGTGACGGAGGACATCGGGACCCACCCTGTCGAAGCTAGTACTAGTACGGTACCGTTGTCAAGTAAACAAACACGACGAATCGCGATTCATCATTTGGCTGTTCATGATAGCTTCACTCACCACGGCGTCGCGTCGAGCTCCAACGCGTCGTCATAATGGCACCTTCAAAGGAAACCACAGTGCCTTCGACGCGGCGAGTTAGGAAATCTGTTGGGGCCAGCACAGAAATGATGCGCACGGCGGACAAAGAGAATGCGACAGTCGATGTAGCTCGCACACTGGCTGACAATCGCAAGAAGTCAAGGAGCAAGAGTATCGGCCCTGGAGGGCTCGACGCTTTGAAACGCGGAACAGGGAATCGTCGCGCAGTGAGTATGCTACTGGTATATGAGATTTATTTGAAAGTGCGTCTAAGATCTGTGAATTTAGTCTATTGCCGCACCCGCAAAGCCGAGATCGATTCTTAAGCCAACTATATACTCCGTGCAGGAAATTCCACCTCTCAGAAACGAACGTCAGCGCATGCGACAGTTGAGTGAATCTCGAGACTCAACGAAGTCTTTAGTTTCTTCAAATGATGACAGCACAAATGGCTCCAAGGTGGCGCTCAAAACCGAAGAAGAGCAGCAAGCCGCTGCGCGAGAACGGGATGAGCGAGAGCGAAGAGACGCTCGCCGTAAGTCCTTGGCGAACAGAAGGGTGTCTTTCGCTGCTGAGGCTACGTTGCATACTTTTCACGAGATAGAATATATACAAGACTCGACTACTTCCACTGACTCATCGCGAAGAGCATCGTCAGTCGACGGAGCTGATTTGTCAGGAACAGTAAAATCGCCCGATAGCCAAAGGTCCAACAGAAGAATCTCGGGACTTCCGCCTATGAACTTTCAAAATACCGACGATGATACCCTAACATCAACCATTTATAGTTCTGACTCAGAGCCGCCTGATGCTATAGAAGAGATTGAAGAGGACAGTGGTTCTAGCAGCGACTCAGATGATGGAACTATGATGACAATAGAGACAGAAGAAGTCACTGGAACTACTGTTGCGTCTGAACGATATGGTTCTGACGAAGAATCTTCAACTCTTGATCGCGCTCTCAGGATGGCTGCGCAAAGGGCCGGTACTCAACGACTCGATGACAATGACGATGATAGACTGGATGATGGCGAAGAGATCATCCCATCTTTTGGCTGGGTAAAGAAGAGCAACCCCTCGACTTCTGCTCAAGGCGCGAGTGATTTGACTACTCAACAAGACGAAGGCGCAGATATGGACATGGACATGGACATGGATATGACAGGGGCTGTAGGACGAATTATCAAGTCGCATAATACCAGAGAATTCGATAGCCATGGGGATCTGTCTATGGATATTACCCAAGCATTGGGAGGTATCTTGTCGGAAGGAAAAGCCAAGCAAACCGGTCAAGATGACGCCACAATGGAGGCAACAATGGAATTTACAACTGCCGTTGGTGGAATTCATCAACCGCAGAATGTGTACCAGGATGAGTCGGATACGAACGAAGATTTCTCAATGGAATTCACCGCGGCCATGGGGGGCGTCCTCCCGCCAGCAAGCGCATCTAGTGCCGGTGCTGGTCGACGACATACTCTGAATCAACAGGAAGATGCCGGAATGGAAGATGCCACTATGGACATAACCGTTGGAGTTGGTAACATTATTTCCTATAATATGCACGAAGACGATCATACCATCCAAGGAGAAGAGACTATGGGTATGGATATAACGACCGCTCTTGGGGGAATTATTTCCAATGGAGATGCTACCTCCCGAAACCTCGGAAAGAGGATAATGGAGGAGGAAGTCAACAAGCCGAATAGCCCAAAGCGAGCGATTATGGCAGCTGTCTCGCAAAGGACACCAACTCGGCGAAGTTCTCGATTATCTGGAATGTCTCAAACTGCATCCCCGAAGGTTAAGCCTGAAAGTCCTGGCCTATCCGCTTTCCGTGGGAAAGGGTTGCGCCGAAGCACTGAGCCGCAGACTCCAGACACTATGTCATCTCCGCTCAGGACGCCAACGCCATCACCCCTCAAACTCTCAACACCTAAGGCCCAACCTGCATCTGTGAGGACTCCGGCACATGGAACTAGAAGCAAGAGCCCGCAGTCTACAACGCCTCTGCGTAAGGGAGTTGCCCAGTCGGGCAAGAGCCCGTCGCCATCCAAATCCTCGAAGCCAAGACACTCCTTGTTCCGAGACGATGTAAAAACTGGAGGAAGAACGCCAACTATAGTTTTAACTCCACAAACTCGTCGTTTATCAGGACTTGGGGCTGATAAAAGCGGACTTGGATCACCACAAGTAACCGCATTACTTGACAGACGCAGCTCTATCGGCGAAAGCGCTACGGACTTTGTTCCGGGCAGGCGAGAGGTTGCTTTTGAAGATCCCAAGGCGATGGAGGAAGAGATTGACAAGGAGCGCAAAGTCGAAGAAGAAAAGGAGAGCCGACAAAAGACTCTTGATCGTGAAGTTGACGGACCACAGGAAGACAGAGAGGCTACCTTCAACTTGAGAGAAATGATTAATAGCTTAAGCCCGAAACGAAATGCCTTGAAAGGAAGGAAGAGTCTTCACGTCGGCAGCGCCAAGGGTCTCCTGGGAAAGCGACCTCTAGAATTAGACGACGATGAGAATTCTGAAGAAGATGACGGAGTGAAAAGGCTTAAAGGGCATAATGCCAGTCCTGTCAAAAATGTTAAGCTACAGCAACCCCCGTCTGTAGCTGAAACTACCGGAAGACTCACTAGAGCGACTCGAAAGAGCCTTGAACATGCTGGGAGCAATACAATGCTCTCTTTTTCCTCACCACTCAAGAAAGGCCAAGCCACAACACCACGACAGCAGGGGGGTTTTCAAAATCTTCAAGATAATCAAACTATTCATGCAGTCAACTTTCATCAATCCCATGCTGGAGATTCCGAAGAGTTGGAGCGGGATGCCGACAATGAGAAGATACACCTTCAAGACTTCTTGAACATGACATCAATTCGCTTCATGGAACTGACAACAACCAAGCGACGCCTCACAGTTGCTCCCAAGAGTCTTCATGATGGCTCATGTGGCGACGGAGAGGATGACATGTCGCTTGAGCGTTGTGTCATTGCGGGTGCTTGTACTGTTCCTATGCTAGAGCTGTACCAACACTCCTGCAGAGAACTCAAGAACTACATAGCTGAAGGCCGACGCATGGTGAAGGAGATTGAGGATGAGACTTATGAGATCAATCCTCCATTATTCCGCGAGTACATGTGTGCCACGCCAGATGTCAAAGCACTTATGGATAATCAGTTCAAGAACGTCAAGACGCATGCCAGGCTGCTCAGTAAAGCGATGTGGTACGAGTGGAGGATGAAACTGCAAGAGGGCCTCAAAGAAGGCCTCATAAGCATATCCGAAGGTATGGACGCCGATGAACAAATGCTGAAGGAGAGAGAGGAGTTGTTAGCGGCAGTTTTGCCTGGTGCCCTCGAAAGACACGAACAACTAGAAGAAGAGAGTGAAAATCTGGATGAAGCAGCCAAGGAGCTTGCGGACTGTGACCCAGCTGAACTTCAGGCTGCAAGAGACGAGTTGACGGATTTGGAGGCTGATATTGAAGCCAAAAGGAGACTCATTGGGGAGCTTCGGGGCCAACTCGAATCCTCCACATCAGAAGCTGAAGAACTTGCTGCAGAGAAGCAGAGCCTTATGACCAGCATTCAACAATCCGAGAAGATTCGAGAAGCATGTCGTGGCTGGACAGGTAGTGAGGTCGAATCTCTCAAATGTAAGTTCCGCTGTCATGGATGACAACCAGACCTGAACTTCATGTACTGACTTGCAAGTAGCTCATGTGGATGCTCTTGAGGAAGAACATGGCTGGGCTGTGACGGGCCTGTCGGGTACAAGTCTTTCCATGGCTTATAAGCGAGAAATTGAAGTTGTTTTCGACGTCGCCTCTTTCCAGCCGCACCAAAAAAATTCTCGGATCGATTTATGGTATATTGGTGATAATAAGGATGGCCACCTGCAATCAAAGACGGCAGAAAAGGAGTTTTTCTTGCAGTGCATTCGAGATCACATTCGCGCTCTGCCGCAGAGTCGGACAAAGATATTGGATCTGCTGAGTATTGTTCGCAACGCTTGGGACAAGGCGCGCTTTGTGACCCTGCAGCTCCACGCGGTGAACATCACTTTCCCGACGAGCGTGACCAAGACGTCTGATTCGAGCGTTGCCGTAACCAGCTCGCTGCTGTTGACGCCACTTCGAACTAGAGTTGAGACAACGCTGCATCTTCAGGGTCATAGCGCAACCAAGGGAGTTAATGTCGAAATCTCCACGCAAGTCAAAGTTGTCTACGGTGAACACTTCAATGTTAATAAGGTGGGGGAGTTCTTGGCAAACAAGATTGGCGATAAGCTGGGAGACAAGGGGGAAGACTGGAGCGACGTGTTGATTGAACTTCGGCAAAGATTAATAGCGAGAGGCAAAAAGCAAATCTCTAGCACAACGTAGTTATGATTGATGATGGGTTGGTCAGCGGCGAAATATCTGTTGCAGGGATTCAGGAGTTTTTGGGATAGGCATACGCAACGGGGCATCAACATACAAGCGACATACCAATACTACTGTTACTATTATTCTCATCATCACATTTATTGTACCTGTTCATTCGGATGGTCCATTTGCCTCGGTGTGATGCAAGGTTGGAAGCAGTCATGTGTGAGGTGAGAGGCCGACTTGGGGACTTCCTCAGAACATCGTCTAATCTTATTGGAACATTCCGATTCATAAGCCAACCATATGGCTTTGATGCTTTGATAGAGGGTTTTGGCTATTGAGGTCTCGGCCAGGACTCAATGAGGAGCAGGCGAGTGGACATTGACATGGTAAGCATTGGACATCAATAGAACAACATTGAAGTCAAAGAAGCTCTGACCCAGCTCTCGCGCCTCTGATTGACTCTATGGAGCTCTGCACATGTGACCCTACCCGGTACCGGCGTTGTCACCTCCAAACACCAAGAACAACCACCATCCATGATTCATTGTCCGTGTTGTTTGCTGCCGCCCCTGCATTTGTGTATCCTTTGTCGGCCCGTGATCAAAGAACTTACGCAAACGCCAGCTAGACGTTCTACACTCACGCTGAACTCATCTCGAACTTGACAATCATGGCCCAATGCCCCGCGTTTCCAACGGTTGGCCCTGACAAGGCATTCCAAAGCGAGATGTGTTCTTGCATGAATATCTGCCTCTTTCTCCTCTACCGCTTCGCATTTCTCTCCCCTCCCCTTGAATATAACTTTACAACATTCACAGGCCGAAGCTATTATGAGTGTCCAGAACCTGGTAATCTCACGCAATTCTATCCTTTGACTTCGCTTGCGTCGTCTTCGCCGTTACATCTGAATACAGCATGACGTGGAACGAAGAAAGCGCCATGTTCGACGAGCTGATACGGATTGATCAGTTTCTCAACAGCCTTCACATGGACAAACCGACAGAGACCCTGCCAAGCCGAAACCTACCAAGTGAAGAAGAAATCAGCCTGCGAGCGGTTCTCCTACAAATTTTATTTGCTGTTGTTATTCGCCTTTCGTGGCTGCTTTGGAGACTCTCCATGTCCATGTGCATATGGATACTGCTTTACTTCCCCTATATCCGGTGCATTTTGAACAATCGCATTCCCTTCTTCGTTGGTCTGACTGCTTGGCTTGTGCTCCTTACGGACCACGATCCTCTCAGTTTCACGACTAGGGGCAGACCAGATGGAGTCCGGTTTACCTCAGCCGATTTGTATCAGCTGTGGTATTGGTTCGCTGCACCAATCTTATGCCGAACTGTATATCATTTCCCATGTCTTCTGAGAGACATACATGCCAAAGCCGCCCAGGATTTCAACGATGCATTCGAGGTCGATATCAGCCTATCGGAATATGTCGTCGAGTGCTACAAGCCTACACCTCCGCAGTCAGCTTTTGACCATGCCTCCCGTCTCTTGTTGCGTGAAATCAACCTCGGCAGAATCGATGCAAATATCGACAACCCAGAATATGACTGGAAAACTCGTACTCTATTACCACAAATGGACGGTGCTACACATCTGGGCTGGGATAAGTACTCCAAAATCCTCGACAAAAGGAAACAAAGACGGGCTACGTATCACAAAGGGCCTGTGGTTCACCGTTTGCGACTTGGACCCGATGGCCAACCGGCGGCCGATATAGACGGGAAAAGAAGGACACCAAGTGTATTGATTTTTGTGGAATATTCCCATACAGATAAGCCGAATTTTCTGGATCTTCTGGAACTGTCGCTTCAGAAAATGCGTAAGATGGGCACCAAGTTGAATGACCTACGAGTCCCTAGTACGTATGGGAGAGCCTTGATTGACGACTTGGGCGAGCGTTGCCGCCAGAACAACGAATGTATCAAGGTTTCCGGTATATCATTGCCTGATTTGACTGTTGAGGCCCGTCTTGGCAAGGGAGCAAAGTTCTTGTGGTCTACCGAGATTCCGGACGATCAGAAACAAGACACAGCATATGTGCGTGCTTCTGAGGAATTAGAGCTTTCGCCTATTTATGCGGCTAATAATGAGAAAAATGAGCTGACAGCTGATGATTATGGGAAGAAAGAATATGTAGGCAGCCCTGAAACATCACTTACTACAGATGAAGAGATGCGAAAGGGGCCGATCACGTTGAAGACCGATCATACACAAGAAGAAGATACCATGGCTGCTGCTGGAACAGCCATAGAAGAACACTGGCGTGTCTCTGAGATGGACCCCGACGTGTTGGATGGCTTGCCAAAAGATGTCCAGATCTTACCCCTGGCAGAATGCCAGCTAACACCAAGCCCTACAGAACAGGAACAGCCCATACTCGAGGAAAATCACTCCAAAATCAGGTACGGCTCAGAAGAGACCTATAGATCTCCCGAAAATGGAGCTGTATCCATCGAGGACCACCAAACGGATCCCGACAGGTTCCAATATACCGCACAGAAACCATTTACCCCTCCCGCAGAACCCGATTTCGCACTCAGGTCTGCTCCCCCTGCGCTCAGGGATGATAGAGATGTAGATGAGGTTATAAAGCCAGGGGAGATACAGATGACCATACAGATACAGCTGCCAGGTACGCCAGAATCTGAGCCAACCGCCGAAAATTTACAAATTACGGTCAACGATGGTTGTGACTCATTCGAAGATGATGCCAATTTTAAATTAAACGCTTCAGCACTAACTGAGATAATATCGCAAAGCAATCCACGGTCTGATTCGAATGACAAAGAGAGAGACGAAGCCTTCTTCCAACTCTGGGAGCCCATTACCCAGGAAGATGGGGACCAAGATATGGAAGACTTCTTTGAGCCTGAATTCCAAGAAGAGAGCGATGAAATGAATATTGATTCTCACGAAGATTGCGACATGTTTGATGGGCTATATCCGGATGTGTCTCGGGGCGAAGAATGGTGTCCATATGAAGATACCATAGCCATGGATACGGATGATATGGAGGACCTAGTCATGGATACGGATGATGTGGAGGATCCAAACTTTCAGCAAGACGTCGAAATGATTAATTTTTTTGATGTTTCTAAACTGGAAACTATGGATATGCAAACACCGGGGGTAGCTGATCGATGGGTTCAAAGCGTCACATTAGCTGGAATATCGGATGATCAAGCCGCTGCCTACACGATGTCTCAGCAGACGCCTACCCCAATTGACTCATGCAACTTAATGCAGGCCATGAAAATAGCCGATTCTGATCCCCTGACGAGCCATGCGAAACTAGAAAGCGCTGAAGCTGTTATTATGGGCGAGATTGACACGGTCAGTCGAGGTAGCCAAGTTGCCGACTTAAACGATGAAATCGAGTTTTTTTCGGGGAATGGTGATGAGGAAGAAACCATGTCTGCTGTACAAAACACCGAAATTCATGAAATCAAGGAACCAAGGAAGATATTTCATAACCTCGACACCATTATCTCACTGGCATCAGCCACTCAGCGAATGAAGCCGGTTTTCAAACAGTTGACCAAAGACCAGCTTCGATTTTCAAGAAATTCAACGCCAAGAAGACGAAAAGCTGAAAAGAGAACTGGTGGCAGCATACAATGCAGATTCTGATACACAGAACGTCATAGGCGCACTGGAAGAAAAGGAGAGCGAGGTAGATATATTCTCACATAACTGTAAAAACCTATCCGATGGTCCGGTAAGCAATGACGAGGTAGTCGAAGGAGGCCCCTCGACCAATAGCTCAGACCGTCCAGACAATCCCGTTATGTTTCATGGCGACGATACAACAGGAAAGAAGTGTTTTAAGACACACCAGGATGGAGAGGCAGAAACAGACGAGGAGGAAATATGTACCTTGTTCACGAGGAGGCAAGGTTGGCGATATTGCGGCAGAATCTCAGGACCAAATGCCTCCATTTGCTCCACGAACGAGCCGTCGTCTAGACCATGAAAATGAACCTGACCAGGTGTCGCAGCCATTCTCTCAAGAATCCTCGGGTTCTTCGCTTGCACCGAAATCAACTCCGGAACAGAAGAGCCGAGAAAATTCCGTTGAAATCTCCAAAGAACATGGGAATGAATCGTCCTCCACATAGAGTGATACGCCAAAAGAGCCAAAGGATAAGGCGCACAGAGAGCTAGTCGTTCCAGTGGCCATAGGTCGTCCCGTGCTTCCCAGTGGGAGCGTCATCAACTCTACCACATCGCAGGCATCAACACATACACCGGAGCCGGGCCAAGAAGCCCCTGCTCCCCTCAGAATGGGTGGCCTTAGTTTCCCAGCCGGCAACCCTATGCACGATGGTTCGCCTACCAACCTATTGCTGGTCCGAGCACTTCAACCATTCTACGACCCAAGTTACCAGGACCTTCCGAAACTAGAGGACTAGAAAGAGTGAAGAAGACTTGTATGAAGGCTAAACGCCGACCACCCAGACTATTCCACGACAAGACAGGAAGAGCTCCTTCAACCCCGCATGGAACTCGGTCCATGGGTTCCATCGAGAGAGATGGACAGTTGAGATCGTCTGACGGAATGAAAAGTCTGAATCGGCTGTCCTCGACCAGTACACGAGCAGCCGAGGGGATGGAGCCGAGGGGATGGGTAACGCGGACCAGAGAAGACCGATAAAAGTGATTCCAATAAAAAAACTTATAGCTAAGTATACAGCGGACACAGAGAGTGAGAGCCCGGCTGATCACACGCGAGGACATTGAAAGGGCCTCAGGGTTGCTTTATGCATAAATACGGCACTATCGGCACTCTATAACGATGCACCTGCATTCATTACATCCATACGGGACTTCTGAATCTTGTACGCCGTTACCTATGCTTAACCTTGGTCCAGCCATTCGTTCCAGAGCGAGGAGTCGACTTTGCGTCGGTAGACTTATCCGTAACATTTCGAGCATTTGTAGCACTGGCGCCAGTCCCAGGCAAGTCTTCCACTTTCCAGGCATCATCATCTAGAACTTCCCAGTCTGGAGCTGGCGCGTCCCCAATAAGCTTCTTCTTTAGTTTATCTGCCAGCTTCATCGGACTTGGCAGCTTGAAGCTTCGAACCAAATCGGTGCCCTCATAACTACCTAGAAAGTAAAATGTCCCACCATGGGAATATCGACCGAGCCAGTTTCCCTGGCTTTCTTCTTCCACTTCCTCGCCATTCGGCCCCCAGCCCGGGACCTTTACATTAATAGGATTAAAATCATGCGCCTGGGCACTCATAAGGAAGCTGTATAGATTACGTCCCATGTTGCAAATGTCGTCAAAGTTGCTCGAATCACCCACAGACACACCTTGGCAGTAACATAGCCAAGCTATGTTGTACGCTAAGAGAGTAACGCCTTCAAGAAAAAAAGAATAAGTTGACGGATCCTCCTTTAGGAGCTGTGTCAACGACTTGTCGACAAACAGTGGCCTTGGTCTCGGAACCCGTTGAGAGTCCGTTTCCCGAGAGTGAGGTTGTAAAGATGTCCCCGAGAAACTGGGGAATGAGACGTGAGAGTGCTGATATGAATTGTTGAGATTAAAAATGGTCGGCCGAGGGTAATCTCGGTGTGGGAGCGTTATCTCAGCCGGCAGCCTAATAGAGAGATAGTGACACACAAGCATCAAAATATGAGCTACATGAGCAAGAGAGGTGGATATAACCTCTGGAGCGTAGGCTGCAAAATGTCAGTCAAGTTCTTCCTCTTGGTCGGGCAAGACCTCAGGGCCTAATGAGAAGACACGTTCGATTGCACATACAATCCATAGAAGCCAAATCAATGACAGGCACTCTGCCAAGCTGGTACTCGTATCGACTAGACCCCGCCTTCTTCGTTCTCTTGAGTCCGTATAGTCTGATGGCTTGAGTACAAAGAAACGCCCGAGTGTTGGCAGTGGCTTCAGCTCTCTGAGCCCATCGAAACCTGGCCACTTTGGTCGATTTATCCAACTCTTGTTGCTGCATTACTCGACGTTCGGCCAACCCGTTTGAAACGGATGCCAAGTCGGACCTTCTGCGAGCCAACGCCGCCTTTCGCGTTCGAATTTCTTCTCTGGCTGCCTGTATCTCTTCCTTTAATTTGTTGGCTGAAGCGAGGATGTGATCTGTCCGATCCTCTTCTAGGCGCTGCATTGCCTTTGACTGCTCGATGTCGCTAAGGCTGTTCTTACTTGAGCCGGCATGGAATTCATTGACCTGCCCCTGGAGACTTTCGTTCTCCAAAAGAGCTTGCAAACCATTTACGCGAAGCTCATACAAGCTATTGCGAGCATCGACCGCGCAGAGAAATGGTAGCTTTTGGGCATCATGGTCCCGATGGCAGATGTGGCACTCCATTCTGAAGTAGGAGTCCTCGTCTCCCGCCACCTGCTGTGAGAGAGGTCGTCACGGACTAGATAACGGCTGCATTTGGACACGGCTGACGGAGTGCTGAATGAGCAAAAGGTGGAGAGTTTGCCTACTTGCGTGCGCGCGATGCTCATGAGCTGCTAAACGGATGACTGGAATTTTCACTTGAAGCGGTCACGGGATGAGAAGTGAAGGACAAAGGCATGGTGTGCAGGTCAAGTACCGGATGACGCCACAAGGTAGGCACGACCTGGTGTCCTGCGGTGGTGGTGCAGCGGGGAGTTTGGTCGCTCTTTCCAGAGCATTGACAAGATGTTTGCTAGCGATAGTGGTTGGTGCCAGCCAATCACAGCCATGCCGTAGACTTTGGGGCACACCAGTGACACCACCAATGCAGCAAGCAGTCCTTAGACCTTGACGGCATTGTTTGTCCACACTTGAGGAGCTGCCAGTTGACGCCACACGCGACGCGGTCAAAAGATCACTTTGGTTGTGTCCGACCTTACCTGCTCGCGGCTTTGAGCACGTCCATCCTTCTTTGCAGCGGATTCGCATGGTTCATCCAAGGCCAACCACTTTGAAACATCGTCGCTCTTGAATTGCACCTAGAATTTTCCGAGTACTATCCTTCTTCACCATCGCCATGTCACCACCACCACCCTCACCACCAGGGTCTCCAGCCGATGAGTCCGGCGAATCATCTTTTGAAGACGGAGATGAGCAGGCTGGTGGTGACGATACTGTAACTATATCAGACATGGGACCGCGGGCTCAACCTCCAGCTCAACCTCAGGATAGCCCACCAGAAGCGCGAGAAAGCCATGACTACAGCACGTCTTCTCCAAGTCCACCTCCGGCGGATGTGGCCCCTTTTGACTGGGATTATTTTGAGTCACGATATGAAAAGGCATTACAAGAAGCCGACGAGGAAGAAAAAGAGATTCTCAAAGAAGCTGAAGCTCTTGCCAAAGTAGGTGCTCAATGATTGATAATTTCACCATGCAATAGTTTGTTGATTCTGGGTCGCAGTACTTTCGAGTATGGGCATCTGCAGCGTCAGCGCACGATGATGACCGTGCTGTTAAGAGGCTTCGCACCAGACAGCGATTTGTGAACTTGGCCGAAGAAAAAATGGCCCAGAAACAAAAGCACTGTAAGTCTTCATATGCCAACACGCTTTTAAACTAACCTTAGAGTCAAGATGAAGAAGTCGTGCGCGCATTCGAGAGTGCCCTCGCCCTGCTCAAGTCCACCTGAGTGCTTTCAAAATTAGTGGTGGTTTGGCACACCTTGCTCTTGCCCCACTTCACTGTCATATGGATGCCATGGTCAGGACCTTTTTTTGGAAGCGTCGCGTTTGAACCTTGATCCATTGCAACTGCACATTGTTTTCTCCGCGTCACCACAGACGCATCAAATTTTCCAGGCAGCTATTCCTGCCGATCTTTGAAATTTCTCCTTTGGACTACAGAGAATATAAATGGCAGCTGCCATACCGAGAGTCAAGGCTCGGCATCGTTGCCATTTCTCCCCCTTGTTGCGGTCGGCTTGAGTATTCATAGCACCATCGATTCTTGCACATTAGAATGGCGGCAGCAGGAACCAGTAATTGGCGGGACCTGGTCGGGGGTTTGCGACTTTCGCATGTGAGTACACACTGGTGCTCGCGAGCGTACTAGAGTCGCTGATGATTATAGGACGAATTGTTTGACTTCCATCAGAGCCATTTCTCCGCTGATGCCGTTGCCAGTTTTGGCTCCGACTTTTTAAATCCTACAGAAAGGCAAGAGGTATACGAATCTAATGCAGGGGAGGATTGGAACGGCGACGTTGACGACGGCCTTGGCTACTACGAAGACGGAGTGAAGCGCACTCTCACGGATGAACAGATTGAGATATTCCGACATTCAGAATTAAGGGACCTTGAACGTCAACGAGAACACGACAAATTGTCAAAATCAATCGGCACCATGACAGGCCGAAGTCAACTGACTTCAATGGAACACAACAACACGGCTAACCTTGCAACACGCAGTAGCAAGAAGAAGAAGAAGAAGGCAAGGAGTGAAAAGCAGGAGAATCCTAAGCCCGACTTGAGAAAACGCACATGGGACGTTGTGGATGCTGGACTGGATTCTTTGGACTACGATTGAGGAAACCGCCTGACCTACGATGAACGAGTGTCTACTGCCAAGGTACGCGAATGACACCATTTATTTAATTTGGGCCCAATACAACATGATGAAATTCCTTGTATCGTCATCCTTAGGCAGATCTAGATTGCAGGCCGATAATTTATTTGGACTCTTGTTCAAATGAAGATGGCTGCGCAAATCAAGACATGACGAGTATTTTAATCTTCTCTCTGAGGACTAGTATCCTTCAACTGCGTTACTACACAAACTCATTGGAATTTAAATTTAAACTAATTGTTTTATTAGAAACTACTAGATGAAAGCGGGCTCAAACAACAATCGCTGTCGATAAATCTATAGTTGGAACGGCGTGTCGATGCCCTCATTAAGGATCTGCAGGCAGATGATTATGGGCTTCCTTTTTATAGGAGCAGGAAATTCATGGCATACTCTGATGTATAATCAGAAATTTATGGATTATGGATTATGAAGAGATGATGAATGATAATGATAATTTGCTACGTTCCGAGCCATGTAGTGAATAAGTTGATGTTTTTGTAGACCAGGCGACCGAGATCAAATCGATTTGTTTGCGGCGGTTGTCGCTTAGTGCAAGAAGAGGCGCACTGGCCAATCAAGGGGCGAAGGGCTGTCGAAGATGGGTCCACAGCCGCTGGAACCCGCTGGGGGCCATCCCACCTTGCTTGGTTTTGCCCTCCACCACGAACCACGAACCATCACCCATCTCGCGGCCGTCGAAACGGGAACGCAGGCCAAACCACCGGACCACGTCGACATCGAGGTCTTGCGCCGGGCATTCCTTTCACACAACCCTCGCTCCCTCATCCTCGTACATCGCCGGCGTCGCAACTCGTGCGACACGTCGCGCACAGGCACCATGGCGCGTGTCTACGCAGATGTCAACCAGAATATGCCCCGCAGCTACTGGGACTACGACAGTGTTAACATCAGTGGGTCGACGTGCTCTTCGTTGTTTTACACAGCCCTCTTTCAAACGCTGACATGCGAGAGATACAGGCTGGGGGGTCCTAGAGAACTACGAGGTCGTGAGAAAGATTGGTGCGTCCTCGCTTCCCATTTGCTGTCTCGCGTTACGCTGTCGTCTTGTTAACATTTCGTTTTCCCCCATCTGAACAGGTCGCGGCAAATATTCCGAAGTCTTCGAGGGCATTAACGTTGTCAACTATCAGAAATGCGTCGTCAAAGTGCTCAAGCCCGTCAAGAAGAAGAAGATCAAGCGCGAGATCAAGATTCTGCAGAACTTGGCTGGTGGCCCCAACGTGGTGGCTCTGTTGGACGTCGTTAGAGACTCACAGGTTAGATCTTTTCGCTTTGGTCCCTCCTTTCTTTGATGCAGCAGCTTGTGTCGTAGAGAGAGAATATTGTGGAACTTTGCTGATATGATGGGATTTGCTTCCCTTCGCCATGTGTAGAGCAAGACACCGTCTCTGATTTTCGAGTACGTTAACAACATCGATTTCCGCAGCCTGTATCCCAAGTTCAACGACCTCGATGTGCGGTTCTACATTCACGAATTGTTGAAGGCGTTGGACTTTTGCCACAGCAAGGGAATCATGCACAGAGACGTAAAGCCTCATAACGTTATGATCGATCATGAAAACAGAAAAGTACGTTTTGATGGATTTGTCTGTTTGGCTGAATCGAAGGAAACATAGCCGTGCGGATTCATGTTGGAGGCGGATCATTTGCTAACGCTCTTTTTTCCTGTTTTTGCCTCTAGTTGCGTCTTATTGATTGGGGCTTGGCCGAATTCTATCACCCTGGGACCGAATATAATGTTCGTGTCGCGTCACGCTACTTTAAGGGCCCTGAACTATTGGTCGACTTCCAGGAGTACGACTATAGCCTTGATATGTGGAGTCTGGGGGCCATGTTTGCCTCTATGATCTTCCGCAAAGAGCCCTTCTTTCACGGAAACAGTAACGCTGACCAGCTGGTCAAAATTGCCAAGGTTCTCGGAACCGATGAGCTTTTCGACTACCTTGACAAGTACGAGATTGAGTTGGATTCACAGTACGACGACATCCTCGGCCGGTTCCAAAAGAAACCTTGGCACAGCTTCGTGACGTCCGAGAACCAGCGTTTTGTCTCTAACGAAGCCATCGACTTCCTCGATAAGCTGTTGCGATATGACCACCAAGTAAGTTATTCTCCGTCCGCACGACCTGCAAAGAAACACGCCATGGGCATTCGTTCTAACCGTGGCTGGCGCAGGAACGGCTCACCGCAAAGGAGGCTCAAGCGCACCCTTACTTCGATCCAGTCCGGGATCCCGAAGTCTTCAAGCAGAATTTGGCTAACCCGGGTTCTAATGGCACATACAAATCTTGACTCCCCAACCCAAGTCGGCAGTCATAGCTACCACCACAAAAGAGACCTACCTTGGGTCTCGGCTTCTGAAATTTCATGCTCCCGCGACATCTTGTCTAGCTGAGGCGTTTTAAGTCGACGTCGTTATCTCTTTCCTCTGTCTGTCTTCCAAGCCAGGACGTCAATATAAACACGCTTGAAGACATGCGGCTTTTCCTGCTCTGGGGGTTGAAGTCGAAAAATACAACGTAGCCCAGACGTCTCGCACCCGGAGGAATCGGACATGAGTACCAATAGCCAACTATTTATACACAACATGCAGCGAGAATAAGAAGCAGAGACATTGCACCAAGGAAGAAATCTACACCAAAGCGGCAGGGCAGGCAGAGGAGTCACGGGTTTCAATTTCATCTGCACCGGCGGTCGAAAGGCGTTAGTGGGGGGAAAAAACAAGAAAAAATGCCAAAAATTGAAATAACACAGCGATGGGGAAGAGATATGGTTTTTCTTTTTTGATTTCCCCCTTTTATTTATTATTTTGCCGTCGTTCTATTTTGGACGTTTGGGCCAGCCCTGGCTTATTTTTTGTGTTTGGTTTCTCGATAGCAGTAGCACATCATAATAATACGGCATTGGAAACAACAATATCCTAGTTGTGATGGTATTGACTAATTGGGTACTACTGCCTCGAAATAAAAACTTTAGTTTGCATTGCCTATTCCCAGTACACCATTCCTATGCATTTGTGCTCCTGTAAGACCCAACACTAAAGACAAGTAAAACAAAAATCCCTGTTACAGGAATACCCATCAATGCCACACTCCTTGCCACCACCAGAAGTTGATCCAGAGTTTGAGCGCCATCCATCCCCGTTGCGTCGTTTCTTCTTTTTCCCGTTCTCCTTTTCTTTTCCCCTACCCTTACCTTTGGGGAGTTTCTCCTCTGGAGGCTGCTTGTCTTTCTGAGGCTTCTCTCCCAAAGGTTTCTGTCGTGCTTGCCTGGCCTCTGCGGCCGATTTCAATTTTTTGTCTTGGGAGACGTTCGTCGGGAGAATTGAGTTCGACTTGGTCGAAGATGATGATTTAGACTTCACCAAATTACCCAGCTCGTCAACCTCGTCGTCTATGTCTTGGTTGTTGCCGTCCCCTGAAACTAACGACAGAAGTGAACGTCTCGAGTTTGGCTTTTTAATAGCCGTTGAGGCCTTGGCCTGAGACATTATTTTGGACTCTGCTGGATTCGACACACTTGACTTCGACATGGTTGGCTTCGACACGGGCAATCGGTCTATCCTGGATATTTTTGAAGAATTGCCCACAAGAACATCCGGCAATTTCGTCCTCGACTTGGCAGTTATAGATGATCGACGAATTTCCGCCTCGATCGGTTTTGGTTTTGGCTTCTGCATTGCTTGTTTCGGAGGCGGCGCCCTTTGTCGTGGTTGCAATATGGCTTTCTTGAGCTCTCCCATCGTCCGCCTTTCTATTGTGTGTTGTCTCTTTGGAGGCCTCGGAGTGTTTGTAGGGCTGCGAGTAGGTGACTTTACAAATATGGGAGACTCCAGGAAAATAGGGGTGCATCTTTTTGAAGATCTAGGTACCTTAGGAGAGCGCCCCTCGGAAAATTTCGCCGGAGTTTGATTTGTAATTTCAACCGCCGTAGGTGGCTCTGGCGTCCGAGGTGTAGTGATTTCCTTTGATGATGGATTCGTGTGTGCTAGAGGCTGAACCGGGCCATCTTCGCGTCTTTCCATTCGCTGTGGTGGCTGGAGAACAGGTTCTTCAGACTTTTCGGACTCATCATCCGGCTGCTGGCAAGAGTCCACTACTTTGGGTACAACTTCCCCGGATGTAGCTGCCGAATCGAGAGGCTCCCCATTACCCGCTAACAACTCTTGTTCTCTAACAACCAGTTTCACTGGCGCGTCGACTGCTTCTGTGAGAGGTAACTCTGCCGGGTATTCTGTTGCCGTTGGTGTTGTCGTTGCCGCTGCGCAGGCCTGACCACTGTTCTCATGGGAGTCATCAAGGTCGGAATCGCCTTGTGTGGCAATAGAAGGGGGGTGATCAACAGCCTCTCCTGGTTCCAAAATGGGTTTTTTCTCTGATGCATCTCGTATTGTAATTCGAGGGTTGAAAGGCTCTGGAGACGATGGGAGATCAAAGTTTTCTGTCTCGTGCCATACAGGGGCGCTAGCTTTGGCAGACTCGAGAGAGGTTGGAGTGTGACTATTGACATTGTGTTCTGGCGCTGGAGATGGGGTACAACGGTCTGTTCCTTTCAACAGTGATGACTTCTTGATGCTGGGTGGTGGACTCGGTGGTGAAGGGGTCGGTTGGGCACCCCCTGTCACGCTCCGGGGTGGCGACTGCATTATAACGAATCCTCCGTCATCGTCTTCCATGGGTGAATCTGAATCTTCTACCAACAAAGCCGGATCTATACAAGCTGGATCAAATGTGTCTGGCTCCATCGAAGTCCGCTCAGTCGTGCCTGACTCTGCTGTAGAAAAATCCACAGGTGCTTCCTCAGTTAAAGCAGGGTCTATTAAAGCTGGATCAATCATATCGGAGCCAAATGGGGGGGGCTCAAGTGATGCATTGTCAAACATATCGAGTTCAGCCGGGGGGCGCTCTCCTAATGCTGGATCAAACACGTTCCCGACGTTCCCGTCAGAAGGGAAATCGACAAATTCTTGGTCAGTCACTGCCCGTTCATCCTGGACAGGGACGCCATGCTCGACGTGACAGCTGAGCTGTGCTGTTGATGTAACCTCCATGTCGCTAACTTCTGATAATTCCGTGATGCGAACAGGTTCGTCGTCTGCTTCCGGGGACGCAGAGAAGTCAGGGTCAGGCCGCCCTGTCTTTTTTGACGATGACTGAGAAGCTTTCTTGCTAGAGGCTGAGGGCCCAGCTTGAAACTGGCTGCTGAATAGAGATCCACCTTGAAGACAGGCAATGTCTTGTGCCAACTGCCGAGCAACACCATACCATGCGTCCTCGGATACCATCATACGGCCTGACTGTCCACATAGAAGAGCAGTCATGCTATTTTGCAGACCGGGTAGCTGTTGGTGTGATGGCAATCCCTCATACATTTTCTTAGAGGCACTTCTCTTCCGGTTCATTACATAGCCAGGGTACACTGAGTCAAACTTGACAGGGTATTTTCTCGGTCGTCCTCGTTTTTTCTTTACCGGCTGAGATGATGACTGTGGTTGGGCTGAGCGGTATGGTACATTAGGTTGTTGCCAGAGCTGTGGCATCGGCTGCTGGGCGATTTGCTGCTGAAATTGGAACATAGGGTGTGGAATATATGACTGCTGCAAAGGGTGCCAAGGCTGGTAAGCCGTTTGCTGAGGAAACTGAAACAGAGGTTGGTGGAACAGGGGGTTGAATGGATATTGAAACCCTTGCTGCTGAAATCCGGGTTGAAAGGTGTGAAGTAAAGGCCCCTGGCCGGCCGGTTGTTGAGATTGCTGAGACTGCTTCTCGGCGGGACTCTTCGGAGTCTGCTGAGGCATGGCCCCAGGAAGAGGGTATTTTCTAGGCCGGCCTCTCTTTCTTTTCACACCTGGAGCTGTTTCCGTTCGAATTTGTTGTGTTTTTGGCTGTATAGTTGACTGTATATTTGGCTGTATCATTGGTGCAGTTGTCATCGTGGGCATGAAGGACATATTCGACATTGTCGGCACAGTAAGAGGTCTTGTCAAGCCAGGTAGTTCTAGTAAGGGGGGCTTGGGTTTCCTTCGATAGGTTCGAGGAGGCCGATACCCAGGAGGGTATTTCCTAGGTCTTCCTCGACCCCGTTTAACCACTGTGCCGTCAGCATTAACATCAGATGCTGGGGCAGCAGTCGCGTTTGGAAGTGCCCTGGCGGATTCCGTGGGATCAGTGGTACTACTTGATCCCAACAGTGGTGAATACAAGGGTGATTCATCATCGGAGAGTACACAGGCGGAGCTGAAATCTCGATGTTTAGGCCTTTGAGGCTGTGGCAGTTTTGATTTGGCACTGGATTGTGTGGGTTGATTGCCGAGAGAAGCATACGAATCCTGGGAATCAGGTATGATTCTCGGTGTTGGCTCTGACGGAGGAGTCGGCTTCGGCTGTGGCACTTCGTCGGTTGTATCTCCTGTATCCGAAGACACAGGTACTTCTCCTGCTGAAAACACAGCGTCATCAATTGTATCACTCTCCTCCATGGTCTCGACCCAAGACAGGTCCCCTAAAGGCATCATTTGCTTCCTGTTCGAAGACGTATCGTAGTGTTGTTTAGGCACCCCTCCTGGTCGTTTATGTGATCCTCCAGGTGCTACTCCCCGATTTCCAACCCATGGGGGAGGGAGAGCCTTGGGCTTTTTAGCTTTCAGCCTCATCTTTGACGGGCCTGATCGTGCTCTAACAGAGGGACGCTGGTCAGGTTCGTTGTCATTAAAGCGGTAATCAGGAGCCCAAATAGAACTGGAACCGTCCTGTGTGGGAAATTCATATCGTTCCTGCGTTTGAGGTAATATGTCCCACGGCCCCAGAGCAAGAGGCGATGCCCCGAACTCGCCCAAAGCTGAGGCATACCGCAAACCTCCGCCGCCATAAAGTCCCGACATCAGGCCTGGGCCCCCCTTTTTTTTTGGGTCGTATCCAGGTATTGCGTCGACATGATCCGGGTTGAATGATTGCTGCAGCCTCTGGAGTTGCATATTGCCTGGTGTGGGTTCGGCATCGTCAGCATCGCTCGTCCAACTTTGGCTCGCGTCGTCCTCCTCCAAGGCGTCACTAGCTCCTTGTTTACAGGAGTAATATTGGCCACTCTCATCGTCGGGGAGATCCTCTAGTAAAACTCCATCGTCGTCATTGTCATATTCATATTCTTCTTCCTCCTCCTCCTCGTGAGGATCGTCGTCGTCAGTGTCTCCGTTGTGGCTTCTGGGAACGTCTCCCACATCGACCTCATTGCGCATGTTTTCAATGTGCCCGTTATTAACAACTATTTCTCCGGTGGACAGATCAATCTCATCGCCAATCCCTTCAAAGTCGCGACCGTATTTTCTGAAAATATGGGCCATGGTAGCTCGAAATCGATTGTCGGCATAAGCTTTTTCAATAGCAAGCTGGTAGCCGTCATCCTGCTCGACGGAACCTTCGCATTGCTCTGGAGCTGACTCTCCATTATCGTTGTCATCGTCTTCATCATACTCCTCCCATTCCTCATCATCTCCATCCGCGTCGTCATCCCACAATTGAGGATGCTCGCCCAGTCGCCGCCGCTTGACCGGGGGTTCCATGATGGCACACGGTAGTGATTGTGCAACCCATGTGGTGTATGGTCAGTGTGCCAATGTCCGGGATTAGAGCACAAAGGAACAATTTAACCTCCCGCTATGAGAGTGCAGGTTGGTGATGTCAGCGTTAAGTGAAGAGGGTCTGGCGTGTTGGTTCAACGCGTCGTGGAGTCGAATGGCACCGGCGGCCTTGTGCATTTCGACCCTTGACGCCGCTAGGTCCAAGCTCTTATACCATAATAGCACTGGTGCTCCCAATAAGAAGCATACAACATGGTTTCGTGGTCTAGTTGGTCATGATTTCTCGCTAACACCGAGAAGGTCCCCGGTTCGAGCCCGGGCGAAACCACGCGTTCTTATTTTTACATTTTCGCATTTCTGCTTTGGTCGCAAGGATAGTTGTCCAGCGACTCAACGCTTTTATTGTTGTTTTTATCTTGCTTTCTTTTTCTTTTTCCCCCTCTTAATTCAGAGCCTGAGCTGTGTGCTCGTCTTATTCCTATTCTTCTGTTAGGGCGTCCGTGAGGTAGTCTTGTTAGTCAGGCCTCTTGCTTTTTTTAGTCTTGTTATTTTGTATAGCCGGTTACCCTATATCAAAGATCCCTGGTACCAGGCTTTGAGCGTTCACATGGAGTTAGATTAGATCTGGGACTTAATATTTAGGACACTTAATATTTGGTGTTCATTGATGTAGATTATTTTCTTTGAGACACTTGTCGTCTTATCGGAACGCGTTCTCGTTGCTTGTCAACTGATCTTGCTCCTGAGTAACAAAATGATTCTAATGGACCTTCATAGCACTCTCAAGTGTCAGGTCACTGCGTGCAGCGTCCATAACTTACGCAAGGAAGAAAACACGGCATCTCGAATACACGCACGCGTAGCTCAATGCGTCTAGGTATCGTTTGAGTTTATATTTTCTTATGCAGGCAGGTAAATCTCCTACGAAAGCCCAAAATGTAAAGGGTGAAACGAAGCGCCATTACCACTGATATATAAGACATGGCGTCAGAGAGCCCTTCTAAACAGATTTGATATCGGAACAGCGCTGTAATGCGAAGCAGATGGATGCTGCAGCGCACCAATTGTCAGATATGCGCGTTCCAAGACGCTTGGGATCTACGATTAAAAAGGTCAATATGCTCACGCTATAATATAGAGACAAACCAGGTACTGCGCCAAATGACTTTATGGTCGTGCCATACAAATAATCACCATAGAAGCTCTGATACGTGGTGAGGTAAAAGATATATTGTATATATCAGCTACGCTCCCCAAAAAGCCAAGGCTATTGTTTGGAGAGACGGGCAGCCTTGAAGCGGCTCATGGGTTCTCCGCCGTCAGCTTCATCAAGTGGCTGAATGACCGACTCGTCCTCTTTCAAGAAGCCACCATCACGGTGAATGAATTTCCTGCGCATTCGCTGATACTCATCGGCGACTTCTTGGTGTGTTATGGAGTTGTCAAACTCGTCTGGGATATTGACATTGGCCGATGTATCTCGCTCAACCAACTTGTCGACAATGGTTGAGCCCTCTGGCCCAGTAGGGACGACTCGAGGCTGCTGCTGCACCAATTGAGAGGGAACGTCCAAGGGCCCCTTCGGAAGTGAGTTGTTCGGAACGTTGTCTCTACCCTTCTTGAACCTTGACGGCTTTCGAGTCGACTTCGTCTCAGTACTGTTGGCAGACGTGGTTCGCTCAACAACATCACTTAGAGGTTCAACAACCGGCGTTTCCCTCGCTGGCTTTGACATTGGGTTTTCGTCTTCTGGAGCGATATCAAGATTCTGTGCAAATCTCACACCCTTCTTCCCTTCGCCATCTCCATTCTTCCTCTCCTTGACATTAGACTTCGAAGGAGCGGATTTCGATGCCGATGGTGCTGTTTCGGGCTCTCGTTTGACGACGATGCGGCCGATTCCTTCCGTGTCGTCTTTTGACCCATCGTCCTCCGCTTTCTGCTCCGCCTGCTGGGTAAAACGGGATTTGATGCCTAGTTTTTGTTCCAATTCGAGCATACGCTGACGGTATTCGTCAGTCACGATACGTCCAGTGGACCTCCCAAATCGGTCCTCGTCCTCGTCCTCGTCATCATCAAAATCATCATCACCGTAGTCGAAGCCACTATCATCATCTGAGTCGACGTCTTCAAGCTCCAGCTCGGCTACCACGGCCCCGACTTCGCCCATGCTATATTGCAGCATTTGTTTTCTTAGGGCCGCATCATCAGGATCCTCATCTTCCGGGATAATGGGCGTTCCATGACTGATGCTTTCTTGTTCCTTGGCAGCCCTCATTATCCGGTCTACGCGCTTGGCTCTCATCGACATTTCAGCTGGTGGGTTTGAAACCTCGACGTCCTCTGAGAATGACACGGTCTTCTTGACTGACGCCGCAGGATGTGTTTCTGAGGGGGCAGGCTGACGTGAGGCTGCGGGTTTCGGTTCTAATGATGCCGGGCTGGACCTCTTTTCTTTCGATGAGACTATTGATTTTGCTTCTGCTGCTGGCGTTTTTTCTTCAAGGCTGTCAACCCCCGCCTTCTCCAGGGCCTCCTTGACCTTGGGGAGAGCCTCCTCAGGTTGGTTGAGTCGATATGAGACAACATTATCCTCATCGTCCAACTCCTCTATAATTTCTGTGATGGATTGGCCAGTCTCATCTACAGCGTCCGGCTGGTTCAACACATTAATAGCAGCGTACTTGTCTTCGGCTGCTTCCAACTGCTTCTCCAGACTCGCAACATTCTTACCAACGTAGTCGATGCGCCGTTGCAACACGTTGATAATCTGACTCCGAGGCTTCAACTCCTGAATACCGAAAACCTCGTTAATCTCCCTGCCGACCAACAGCTCACCATCAAACTCATCGTGGATGTGGCGTAAGTCATCCGACGTGTATGGTTCTTCAACAGCTTCAACCTCTTCCTTCAGAGCCTCGTATTCTGCATCCCAGGTTTGCCAATGCTGCAAGGTCTTTTTCAGCTGGCCTATATTTTCTTCGAGCTGCAGACGGCGCTTCTCGACGCTGAGGAAGCTGTCGTTGACGCCAGACATGGTTGTCTTGAAAGGTTCAGTTGGGCCGTATGGAGCTAGAGGCAGCTTAGGAGAAAAAAGTTGCAGATGCCTCAGGACTGTTGGAAAAGTTGCAGGGGTGGGGCCAGATGCGGCGTGAATGTGGGTGAATGAACGGGTGGGAAAGTGCGCGGTGGTTGAACACCGGTTAATTTGTTGGTGTGTTCGCGCCTGCCTAAGACCGGGTTGGCCTCGACTGTCATCAACTTGGCACAGTCTCTCACAGACTTGGCTGCGAGATTGGCATCATATCTGAGTCGGTGTAACGCCTTTTCGCCCAAGCCATGTTCAGTTATTAATACAGGGCGATCAACCGAGGGCGTGATTGACAGGCTGTCAAGCCACAGTATTAGTCTCCATCGGTTGTATGGAGTACTATTTCAAGGGTCGACACCCGGCCGTCAACTTAGACTTTTGACCAGCAAGACCCAACAAGCTGGCGAGAGCACCCATGCCGTGGTCACGCTGACGTATCAAGATGGCTTCCTCGGAAGAAACCAAGTCGCTTGAGGCTGAATGCCTCTGCGGCTCTATTCACTTTACATTTGATATCCCTGTGGCTTCGCTTCCACTGTCAGTATATCTCTGCCACTGCAGCATCTGTCGTCACGCAACCGGCGCGCCGACTGTTTTCCACTCGGTTCTTCCCAAGAACACAACACCCAATTTCATTTCCCCTTCAACTGAAAGGAACTTGACTTCTTTCAAGCCCGCAGAAGACTGTACCTATGACTTTTGTTCAACATGCGGCTGCCACGTAGCCGGCGTCAGTTTCGACCGTAAGGAATGGACCATCGCGACCTCCATGTTCAAGGACCACGGGCTGGACAAGTTCAAAATCACCTCGCACGTGTTTTCCAAATCCGGCCCTGGTAGCGCCATACCAGCTGTAGTATCCAAGATTGATGGCCGAGATATCAAGCACTGGAATCCGCCCGACGATGACCCAAGGGCAAAAGTGAACAAGCCAACAGCTGAGGCCGGACCAACTGGCGAGGACCGCCTCCGAGCCCAGTGCTACTGCGGCGGAGTTTCATTCACATTTGGCCGGCCAAATGACGAGGTTCGCAACGACACATTCATGTCCAAGTATGTGTCTCCCCGCGACCAGAACAAGTGGCTGGCTATATATGACGTTTGCGATGACTGCCGTCTTGCCAACGGCACTCATGTGGCAGGGTGGACTTTTGTGCCACTGATGCTGTGTGACCCGCCCATCAAGACTGACTTGAAGATTGGAACCGCCAGGACGTATGCCTCTTCTCCGGGTGTCTTGCGATCATTCTGTGGAACATGTGGTGCGACTGTCATGTACTCCTGCGCGGCGCGAATGCCTACGGCGGAGCAGGCCGTTGTTGATATCGCAACCGGCATTTTGAGGTGTCCCGAGGGCGTCATGGGCGAGGACTGGTTAACGTGGAGGGCGGCTTTAGCGTTTGAGCAGACCGGTGTCCGGTATGACAAGGGATTTCATCAAGCGTTGAGAGATGGAATGAAAGCGTGGTCCGAAGAACAATATGGTGAGGCGTTGACCATGATGATTGAGTAATGAGGTGACATGACGTGTTTTGCTGCATGGCGAGGGTGCACTGGGTAGCAAGGCTGATGACGCGATGTGAAAAGAGCCAAATATTTGATGAGTTGAATGAAGCAAGCGATGAAATTTGCCGCGTTTTCCAACATGGCTCAATGAAAGTGTGGTCGTGTTGGTTGCTCGCCCGTGAGCCACGCTGTGTGTGTGAGCTTTGAGCTGCATCAATGTGCGAGGTCGGCAGGCGCCGCCTTCAATGCTGCCTTCGGCCCTCCGTATGTAAGCACATGCACCTGCCAGCCCCGAGAAGTATCCGCTGCGTATTCCACTAGTTCAGTATCTCGACTCAGGGATTTAATGTGAAATTACGGAGAACATGTCGCATATCAAACCCCTTCACAACGACAATTGAACGAAGCACGACGGGGAAAAAAAGAAGGGGGATAAGAAGAAAGACCCAGACGAGAGAAGCACACTCATTGCTCGGCGCTGGCGCAACAAGCCCACTGCTTCTCCATACATACATGTACATCACATGTACCCTCGACGCCAGCACCACGCAGCATCCGTCACAATTTGTCTCACCCACAGCACATCCAAGCCGACAGGCATCAACAGGGTCAACCAAATCGATGCAGAATGTATCAAGAAGGCCCATCGTCACTATACAACACCTCATAGCCCGAAACGTCTCCCTGCGCGCCATGGCAACAGTGAGCAGGACCTACAATGTGAGCGAACCTTGTGCCTCACAATCTCAATGAGTAGACTCTCATCTCCAGGTCTCAGGACGCGATTGATGCACTCAACTCACTTCAAACGCCCTACGCGGTGATCGAAGAGCGTCGCAAACTAGGCATAAAGCCTGATGCGTCATCTATTCGTGAGATGAGGGCGTATCTCACCCGGATAGGATACACGGCATGTGCACTCCTCCAAACAACCTCCCAACATGGCCGCTACATAACTGACAAAAGACCTGCCAGCCTGCCGACCTAGACCGTCTCAACATAGTCCACGTGGCAGGGACAAAAGGCAAAGGCAGCACCTGCGCCTTTGTAGATTCCATCCTCTCTCAGTACCAACGCAGCAAGTCCACGCCTAGCAAGACCGGGCTCTTCATCTCGCCCCATCTCATTGCCGTCCGGGAACGCATCAGGATCGACTCGGCACCCATCTCAGAAGATCTCTTCGCCAAGTACTTTTTCCAGGTATGGGATCGCCTTGGCGAGTCCAACGCGTGCCCCGAGGACGCAGCGCCCGGCTCGCGGCCACTGTACGCCCGGTACCTCACGCTCATGAGCTGGCATGCCTTCTTGCAAGAAGGTGTTGACTGCGCGGTGTACGAGACGGGCATAGGAGGGGAGTTTGACGCTACCAACATTGCCGAGCGGCCCGTGGCTTCGGGCATAAGCACGCTCGGTATCGACCATGTCTTCGTGCTGGGGGATACCGTGGACAAGATTGCCTGGCACAAGGCGGGCATCATGAAGCCGGGGAGTCCGGCTTTCACGGTTGAGCAGGTCCCCTCTGCGGCAGAGGTCTTGCAAACCCGAGCCAAGGACAAGGGCGTGGATTTGAAGGTGCTGAGTGTTGACAAGAGGTTGGCCCGAGTCAAGATTCGCCCAGATGCCCTTTTTCAGAAGAAGAACGCTACACTGGCGATTGCTCTCGCAGAATCGGCGTTGCGGCAGCTGGGCGTCCAAGTCGGAGACAACGCAACGTCATTACCCAAGGAATTCATCGACGGCTTGGAAGAAACGGTATTCCGCGGCCGGTGCGAAGTAAAAGACGAAGGTGTCGTAAAATGGTTCGTTGACGGCGCCCATACAGCTGACAGTTTGAAAATGTCGGCCAAGTGGTTTGCCGACGAAACTTCAAACAGGCAGGTTTCTTTTCCCGCAACTATCGCGTCCATACCAAGCACATGTGCATCACCAAGCTAACACAAACCGTCCCAGTTCTGGCCCACGCATCATGATATTCAACCAGCAGGGCCGCACCGAAGCAGTCGACTTCCTCACACCCCTCCAAAAGGCAACATCCCGCAACTCCCTCCCGTCCTTTGACCACGCCGTCTTCTGCACAAACGTGACGTACGCCAAGACGGGATACAAGCGGGACTTTGTTAACCGCAGCATCGACCCCAAGGAGATTGAGACGCTGTCCGTGCAGAAACGCTTCGCGGACAAGTGGAGCGAGATTGACCCGGGTTCCAAGGTTGTTGTAATACCTACCATTGAGGAGGCGCTGGACTATGCGAGGCGTGTTGGCGAAGAGGAAGGCACCCAGGCGGTGGCATATGTTACGGGGAGTTTGCATCTGGTTGGCGGTGCATTGGGGATACTGGAGAAGGCGGATGCCTTGTGATTTGCTGTTCTTTTTGAGTTCATTACTTCAGTTGGCGATATACCTTGTTCTTGTCAAAGTGTTGCAGCTGGGATCATGGAACGAGCCGTCTATAATAGACCATCGGGCTCTAGAACCCGTAATACACCACCCACGAGGTGCATGCTCCCCGTGACTAGAACCTTCCCCTTTGCCTTGTTCCGTACGAGGTTCCTGGCATGTAGAACCGCATCCTCGACGTTATCAAATACCGCCGTATCGCAAGCGGGCACAATGTCCCTCATCGTCTTCGCCGCGCCCTCCTGGACAGCCACATCTCCATCTCCTCCCCCCTTGAGCTCGTTCCTCGTAAACACGGCAGACTTGAACACCTCCCACCCAGTCACCTCGTTGACCTCGCGCAAAAAACCCGCCAGCAGCTCGCCCGCATTCCTCTCCTGCTGGTTAAACACCAGTATCACCTCTTGGCCCTCTTGAACATTCTCACGCAACCACCTGGCCACCTCGGCCAGACTCTCCCTCGTGTGCGCCCCATCAAGTAGCCACGTTTGTTCGCCGTCATGAACGACCTCGCAGCGACCTCTCAATGTAGCTTCTCTCAGCCCGCTCGCCATCTCATCGGGCAAGTCCTCCCATCCTCCACCGCCCATGTTCAAATGCTCCCTCACGGCCAGCACAGCCAAGGCCTGGTTCATCTTCTGAAACCCGCCTTTCAAGTTCCCCTCGACGCCACGCCACGCCGCAACCTCATCAGGGTCAACCTCGACAAGCGTGGCCTTCTTCTCGGCCGCCCTCTGCCTCAGCACGCCCATCACACTCGGCTCGGCTCTCACCGTAAACCCCTTCACCCCGTCCTTGAGCACCCCCGCCTTGTGCCAGGCAATCTTCTCAACCGTATCCCCCAACATGGCGACATGGTCCACGCCCAACTGCGAAATCACCGCCGCGGAAACAGCACGCGCGGGCAGGACATTCGTGGCATCGTACTCGCCGCCAATCCCACACTCCATGACGACATTCCTCACCCCCCGCCCCAGAAAGATGTGCCACGCCATAATGGTGAGAAACCTGAAAAAGAAGGGCTTCGAGCCCGGCCCCTCTGCAGCGGCAGCATCCCTGCCCTCCCTCCTCGCCGCCTCCGTAAACCGGTCCCAGAGCTCGAAGAACGCCGCGGCAAACAGTTCCTGGGAGACGGGCTCGCCGTCGATGGCGATCCTCTCCCTGGGACTGACGAGGTGCGGGCTCGTGTACGTCCCCACGGCGCCGTACCGCCGCAGCATCGAGGTCGCGTAGGCGCAGACCGAGCCCTTGCCCTTTGTGCCCGCGACGTGGATGTGACGCATGCGGCAGAGGTCGTCGGTCGAGTAGCCCGCGCGGCCGAGCCACCGGATGACCTCTGGGATGGCGACGGCATTCAAGTCCCGGGCCTTGGCGTTGCTTTGCTCGGGGGTGCTGCCGAAGAGCTGGGTGACGGTGCGGTTGGACTGAAGCTCGGCGAGCTTTTGGAGGGCGTCTTGGTAGCTGCGGGACATGACGCTCATGGGTCTTTGGGCTCGAATGGGTGAAGTGCGCGGGCGAGGAGCCGTGGATCGTGTTGATGGGCGAGATGAGTAGGCATGTAAAGGTCGGAGGCGGCATTGAGTGAAGGCGCGGCTCGTGGCCATGGTGATGAATCTATGATGGGGGTGAGACAACTACTTAAGTACCTACTTAAGTGCTTAGGTAGGCGGGGTGATTTGCCACTACGGAATCATGAAGAGAAGAACCGACATAATGCGGGCACGTCAATTCGCATGTTTTGGCACCATAGCAAAGCCGTTGTTGATGAGAACTCTACGCAGCAGCTCCTCCAGGTCCCAAGCGACTCGCTCATTCACATTGTGGGTCCTGGCACAACACATGCCGACGCCTCCATATACATCCCTCGTCGTGCACGACTGGAGCTCATATTGAAGTTGTAAATGACGTATGAAATCGCCTCGATGTCTATTCATATCTAGTACACGAGTCTATGACCCTTTTTTACGGCCTACCCCCATCACCAATATACAGGACAAAGAAGACTTGTAATTAATCTACTCTCAAGCTCTGGAGTCTCGCTTCAGTAGCAATGACCTTGACATTGTGTTAGCTTTGCTGACAGTCATTTTCAATTCAGCGTGGCATGTAGTGTACTTACGTCAAGTGCTTGCTGAACTTCCAACACCTTGCGTACCTCGCCCAACCAATCTTTGCTGAGCGTCTTGGCCCATCCCTGCAGGCTGTTCATTTCTCGGGCAGCTGAATCCAAATCGCCCTCTTCTAGATAAGTTTGTGTGCGTGTCAGAGTACTTTCGACATCGTTGCCCTCGGCAAGACCTTCCTTCTTGAACATGACATGGCTGAGGACCCAGCTGGAGGCGTGGCTGGCAACACCTGCGTCATCTGGCAGAAGAGAAGCTTTCCTGACCTCAGCTGCGACACGGCGGAATCTGTCAATCAGTAGGGATGGGGTGGAAACACCACGCTGGTAGGCAAGAGGGTTGAGAGAAGCAATGGCAGCATCAACAACGGCGTCGTCGTCGGCAATCTCCTTCAGGGCAACCAACTCTCGGATAAATGGCTTGGGGTGAGTAGCGTTTTCTAGACTGGCACGGACAGCTTCGACAGCAACGTGGAGCTGCTGAGTCTTGAGATTAGTGTCCACGACGCCATTCCAGCCAACTGTGAGCTTCTCCAATTCAGAGACTGCCGAGCTTAGGTCTGCGAGCTTGCCGAGACGACCTTCTCTCTCCTTCTCAACACGGTCCTTGACCTCCTGCACGAATTCCTTCTTCAGAGCCAAAGCTTGCTCCAAGAGCTGGTTCTGGAGTTTTTCCTCGTTGAGCTTCTTCTCTCGTTCCATCAACAGCTGGACACGTTCATCGTAGCTGTTGCGGACCGATTTCATTTCTTCCTCAAATTCTCGCCGCCACTCAATCTCTTGAGACAGCATAGTGTTCTCAACACGCTTGATGAGTTCAGTGGCGGCAGTGTCAAACTCCTCGATTGAAGACTTGACCTCGCCAGCCGCCTTCTTCTCAATGCCCTTCTTCAAATCCCGAAGACGGCTGCCGATGCGGAGAACCTCATTTTTAGCCTTGGCAATGGTGGTGGAGTAACGACCATGGGCGCCATCAGCATTTACAACCAAAATAAGGTCATTGAGCATGTGCACGAGATCTCGGACGATGGGGTCCTTGGCTTCGGAAAGTCCCATCAAGTCAATGGGCTCAAGGGGTGGGAATCGAGACGGCTCGTTGACCTCAGGGGCCTTGAATTCCTTCTTCGAAGATGGCTTGGATGAGTCGGTAGTAGGGTGCTCACCAACAGCCTTGGGAGTTGCCTTTTCAGCTGGCTTGGATTGCGCGGTGACTGGATCGGATGGCGTCTTATCAGCGATATCCTTCTTCTCGGCCTGCTTGATCACGGGTTTCACAGTAGCAGGAGAGGCACTAGAGTGGCGAGAAGAGGCATCGGAGCTTTCGGCCACTCTCCAAGAAGCGCCGCTTTGTGCGGGAATTTTGACTTGCTTGCCGGTTTCGCGGGATTGAGAGTCGTGGCTCACGGCGTCGGGGAACTTCTTCTTGAACTCAAGCTCCTCCAGGTAGAGCACAGCCTGCTCTCCATATGGAATGTACTCGGTGAAGAAGTCATGGAAGTTGTCATTTATTCGCGAGTACCAGACACCACCTGCGAAGCCAACAGCTCCGAGAACCATCAGTGTGAAAACGAAGCTTCGGAGTCTCTGGGAAAAGCTCTTCTTCTTCTTCGCGAGGGCCTTGGTAGCCTCAGTTGGGGGAGGAGGCGGCGGCGGCGTCAAGGGAACGTTGCTGGTTTTCGGTGTATTCGCATCAACAACTTCGGCGGCCGGTGGAGGTGGGCTTCTTTCGGAGCTCAGGGTCTCAGACGTCGGCATCACAGGGGGCTTGGGAACGTCGGCATCTGGCTTTTTAGTATCGGCATAAGATCTCTATAAGGCCAATTGGTAGTTATTAGCGGCCATTGATTTTCTGGACCATGCGTTCGCATCCTTGCGCATGTTTGCATCGAGGTTAATAAGGTCGGTCTGGGGGTTCAATTCGTACCGCTCCAAGCAAACCGGCTCGTCGCGAAGCCGCACTGGGCCATTGGCGGCCAGCAGCAGCCACAATGGGCTTGCTGCCAAGGGCCCTTGCTGACCGAAGCGATGATCGCAACATGAGGTAGGATATAAGCCAGCAGGGCACGTCGTGGTGGTGGTGGTGGAATGGGTGACGGTCTGGAGTTGCGAGCAGGACAAAAACGCTCAGGGCAAAAGTTCGGCTAAAGGCTCAAGCACAAGCTTGCCGCACTCTCGAGATCTGGGTCCTGACGTGATGCCGAGCGGCAGGAACCGGGACCTGTGACGCAACCACCATGGCTATGCATGCATTTGACAGCCTCGACGCTTCAAATGCCACGCAGACGGGACCAGAAACTGTTTGCACAAAAAGATGCAGGCCGAGCTGAATGCAACCTTTTTTTTTTTTTTTAAAGAGACTAGATAAATAATCGCACTGTAGGTAGGGGTCCATCGTGTTATCATCGAGCCATTGCGCCCGTCTTGCCTGGTTGGATGACTGTTGTCACCGGCGAGTGTTGGCCGCGTAACTGCTGCACTTGAGCCCGTTCACTTCAGGCAACAGAATCCCTCCTGCTACCCCTCACACATAGTTGAGTTCCATCAAATCGGAAGGATTCTATTTAACATTGATACATGTTGAAACTATTACATGTCCCCAGTGGAAATTGTCCACTGCTGACCCACGAACACACTCTGCGGCAACGAGGCAAAGTGGAGGACTCTGGTACGGGGCAGGAACAGCACAGATATAACATTGTGCGTGTGCGTATATGATATTAGGATGAGGCCAAAGTAAGAACCAAGAGCGAAAAATGTCTCCGAAAAACAACCCTTCCAAAAACCCAAGACTCCAAGAGAGAAACATACAACTTTCTGAGGCTTCCCAGCCGCAAGACAAAGGCTTAGCTCAACCGCCACTGCCAGCCTGTTCTCTCCATGCCAATAGAGATCTGACTTGACCTATAAATATGCGTTTGGCGGCGTCTTCTTCCAACCCGTATAACCCGCACATCTAGCCGCCCCAAGCCGGCAATTGAAGAATACCAAAACAATTTAACAGCTGCATGGCCCGCTCACGTTGGTGTTTGCGTTTTCGGGGGTCAGACTGACGCCGGGTCGCTGACCGGGACGAGTATGCCGAGGCCCAGCTTGGTCTAGAGGAAGCTTCTTGGCAATGGCAGTGAATAGCTCGCGAACATTCTCGGCCGTTTTCGCTGAGGTTTCAAAGAATAAGAGACCCGCCTCTCGGGCGTAGGCCTCGGCATCGGCGGTGGGGATGGCACGCTTATCGGGCTGTTCGGTAACCAAATCAAGCTTGTTTCCAGCCAGGGCGATGATGATATCCTCCTTGGCCTGACGCTGAAGTTCCTTCACCCAGGCCTTGGCCTTGTCTAGTGATGACTACAAAATGCCAGCGTCGTTAGCATACCTGCGTCTGAGGGGCAGGATGATAGAATGAGGGAACGAATGCGGTGAGAGAAGATGAGGCCTGCTAAGAAGACGTACGGATTGTGTAATATCGTAGACAATGACGGCGCAGTTTGCGTTGCGGTAGTACATGGGGGCGAGGGATTTGTAACGCTCCTGTCCGGCAGTATCCCAAATCTCGAACTTGACTGTGGTGTTCTCATCGAGGGAGATGGTTTGTGTCAGGAATGCGGCGCCGATGGTGGACTCCCTGAAAGAGTCAAATTGGTCCTGGAGACTGGGTCAGCGGAGTGAAATAATTTGGGCATGACAGCTTCTGGCTACCATGACGCCAGGAGAGAATAGGTTCCCACATACCTTAACAAACCGCAGGACTATTGAGCTCTGCAAGTGTAATGTTAGCCGCCACTACAAGGCCTGTTTAGCATGTGTGTATTCCGTCGGTATTCACCTTTCCGACGGCGGATTCGCCTAGAGATACACTGTTAGTAGGGGGGACTGGTGCGGAGGGAACATGGGCCTCATACCGAGAAGGACGAGCTTGAACTGAGCAAAGCGGTTGTTCGCACCGCGGGCGCCAGCAGTAGGGCCTCGGGATGACATGGCTGCGGTGACTGCCTGGCTGGCGAGTTGGCGTCGTCGGTTGATACAGTTGAGGTGGCGGTCGTCGAGATGTTGCGATCTGACCACGGCTCAACAACGGAGGGTCTCGATAGGTTATATGCCCCAAGGTTCGGACTGGGAGAAAATAACCGCGGGATCGGAAGACACAGGTTCGAATAAGTAGAGGGACCGACGCGGAGGGTTGTAGGAGCAGGGAAAAAAGAAAAGAAAGGCTTCCGCCAAGGGTTTGGGAATGAAGTGTCTGGTGACGGTGGATGATGGTGGGCTAGAATGCTGGGCCTGTTTGGCTGGCGAGTTAGTCGGATCTCCGTTCCAAGTTCGCCGTGCCCAGAATTGCGTACTCTGTACGGAGTGGTTGTGAGGCACCAGACTTGACACGTTCAGGCGGGAGGCGGGAGGTGGTGGTCTGCTGCTGCTGTCGAGTGTGCCAGGATGTCTGTAGGTGCCTAGGTCTAGGTACCTAGGTACTTGGATGTGGTGAAGTGGCTTGGCGCCGGTTGCGTCGACATTGTCCGCCGTAGTTGCCGCATGACCCTAAGGCAGGGAGCCTGCCTACCCGGTACCCCATAATTCACATCAATGATCCGGACTGTTGACGCGATATCAAAAGTTACGTCAGCATGGTGCACTCATTTACATAACGTAGAACCTGGCAGCCCATCTCGCCATCATGTGAATAAACAGTCTGGTACGAGTATATATTACGTAGGATCGGATCTGCACAGCGACTGCATGGAGACCAAGCATGTACATACATACAAGCCCATGCTACTGCGTCCGTCTGCCAACCAAAGATGGACCCTCCCAGGCCCATGTGGTGGATTGCGGCTCCTGGAGGACTCGAGCACTCAGCACCAGACCCGTGTTACCGGGCAGTACGGACCAGACAGTACCAGACCGCGCTCGTCTTGGCTACAGATGCTTGTTTCCTCTCATCAATCCATTGTTTGGTACTGATCGAGTGCCGTTGGCGAGTCTCCAGTTCCCACATTCAATCCGGTCAAGCGTCGACGGTGCCTGGACGTCCGAGCTACAGGCCACTCGAAGACATGTGCCACCACTAGCCTTGAGCTTCCAGGGCATCCGTGGAGTCCCCAGGTACATCTAAGTACTTAAGTACCAACCAAGGTCAACTGGTACCTCTAAGTACTCTAGCACTGGGGGGCTTCTAAACCAACTTTGAGGGTGATGTCCCAGGTGCCAGCTGCATGGCGCTCGATACCATTAAACCGAGGGTTCAGATGTTCCTGTCCCTGCGCCCCTCGCTAAAGTCACGAATACCCGAATCCCAGCTTCGCGCTGTGTCGACGTCAACCTGCCTTTGTTCGAGTCGGCCACGTTTGCTGAACTGCTCACCAACTTCAGCACCAGAGTCCTAGACGGCGAGTTTCGTCTTCTGAGCCGCTGATTCTGGCTGCTTGGCCACTCCTGTTTTTTTTTCTCTTGCAGCTGTATTGCTTCTTTTCTTCGTCTTTCGTTGCACTCTCTTGTTGAGACGGCTTCCTACGCTCGCGATGCCGGCCCTCGCAACGTCCAAGTTCCCCTTCCGGGACATCAACCTCAGGGTTACCAACGATGCCTATACATTCACCTCGCCGTCGTCTCCCGATGCCCCAGCACTGGTAATTGATCGTCCTACCGGTGATATCCGCCTGAGCGACTCCAATCCACAAACTACCAAGCGGGCAACTCGGGTGTCAAGCATCGCTGGCATACTGGGCATTATCCAGCTGAGACTCGGTATGTTATTCTATCATGCTCCCCCCCTTCTCCGCGTGGTTGCAAGTCAAAGCTTCACTTCGCTAACTACAAAACGAAAACAGACAAATATGTCATAGTTATCAACAAGGCCCAACCCGTGGGCCGCCTCAAGGGCCACATGGTGTACAAGGTTATTGCCGCCGAGATCCTTCCCATGCGTGAACGCCAGATCCACGATCCCGACGAGGATACCTTCATTGGCCTCCTCAACCGCTTCCTCCAACGAGGGCCAATGTACTTTTCGTACTCAATCGACTTGACAAATTCTTTCCAGCGCCAGTCGCAAGCCGATACCTCCAATCCCCTGTGGATGCGAACTGACGATCGCTTCTTCTTCAACAAGCATCTCCAGTCAGACTTGATAGAATTTCGTACCCGAGGCTCCAGAAGCCAACCAGGAAAACAGGCAGCTGTTGACCCATACATCCTCCCCTGCATCTTTGGCATGCTAGAAATCAAGCCCACCAAATTTAAGAACACTCCCCTTACAATCATCATTATTTCTCGTCGGTCAAGATATCGTGGCGGAACCAGATATTTCACCAGAGGCCTAGACGAAGATGGCCATGCTGCCAACTACAACGAGACAGAGCAAGTCGTTATCCTCAACGACAGTAGTTCGGGCCTAGGAGGCTACGCCGGCAGCAGCGATATGCAGAGCGGCAAGCTTGGTAGCGGTCCTGGCCAGGAGATGCAAATCATGTCCTATGTTCAGACTCGTGGCAGTGTTCCTACGTACTGGTCCGAGATCAATACTCTCAAGTACACACCAAAGATCCAAGTTCGCAGCACAGACGCTGCACTCGCCGCTTCGCAGAAGCACTTTGACGAGCAGATTCGCATCTATGGTGACAATTACCTCATCAATCTGGTCAACTCCAAGGGCAGAGAATGCAAAGTCAAGGAGTCATATGAGCAAATGTACCGCTCGCTTGCCTCGGCGCCCAAGGAGCATCGTGAAGCCGACACGCTCACCGATGAGAAGTTCCACACCATCCAACCCGGATCAAGAAACCAGGAGTTTGACCGCCTGCACTATGTCTATTTTGACTATCACACCGAGACAAAGGGTATGAAGATGCACAAGGCATACGCCATTACAGAAAGGCTGCGCGAGGAGCTGATAGCCCAGGGCTACTTCCGGGGCGTCGACATGCCCGCCAACGTAGATGGCAAGATTGACGCCCGCAGCCTCCAGACCAGTGTCATGCGCACCAACTGCATGGATTGCTTGGACCGGACCAACGTTGTGCAGAGTATCTTTGGCCGTTACACCCTGAACCGCATCTTCGAGGATCTCGGTCTAATGTCCCGCGGCGCCCAGTTCCGCGACGAAGACCCAGCTTTTGAGTTCCTCTTCCGCAACATCTGGGCTGACAATGCCGACATTGTTTCCACAGCGTATTCCGGCACCGGCGCCATGAAAACAGACGTCACTCGCACAGGAAAGCGAACTAAACTCGGCGCCCTCCAGGACGGCCGCATCGGCCTCACCAGATACTTCCTCAACAACTTCCGCGATGGACCTCGTCAAGACTCGTTCGATCTTTTCCTCGGCGCTTACGACCCCAGCGCCACCAACGTCGGCACCAACCTCATCTTTGTCGACAGGCGGCCTACCCTCATCCAGTCGATCCCCTACGTTCTGGCCTTTAGCATCTTCATTGTCCTAGTCGGCATATTCACAAAACCAGCCCCGGACGCCAAAGTTCTCCCCATGCGGCTCTTCATTTTATTCTGGAGTGCTGTCGCAGCGTGGTGCTTCCACTTTGTCTGGACCCATGGCATGCTCTACGTACGCAATCAAACCCCCCTCCCTTCTAAAATATCCAATTCCTGTACATGAGTTCCTTGCTAACATCGCGCAGGTCAACTGGCCGCGTCTGAATCCTCGTCCCTTTGCTGTGGACGGCTATACCGAGCACTACGGCAAAGCACGCAAGGACGCTGTTATCGGCACATTTGTCGCCCGCCACGAGAGGGGTCTTAGCACGGCGAGATATCTTAATGCGGAGGAGGGTAAGAAGAGGATTGAATAGACATAGAAACGTCTTGTGTGTTATCAAAAGGGGCAATCGGGGCCCGTATTTATTAGTTTTAGATGCTCATTTGTTGGCGCCTATTTTGGCCGTAATTCAATGCAATAGATAGAAAAATCCCCTATATATTGTGGCATGTTGAAGTAGAACTTGTTTTGGAATCACAATCGTCATCTTGGGCTACTATTCTCTGTTCCAAAGTGTCTGGTTCGCTAATGCTCAAACTACCGGCTATGCAACACCAAGTATACAAAAAGAATGGAAAAAAGCGGGGTATCAAGCTACGACCTCGATGGGGAAAAAAGGAAAGAATAGGCTTGGACGCATGCTTAAAGCCGTAAAAGTATACATGTGATATCCAACATCTTCAATGAGAAGCAATCACAGCCACAAGAGCCATCGGGCACCGTTCCATATTCCCTTGCCCATGCCCAGGAATACTCGTAGGATCATCACCATAAACCACACGTACCACATGAATCCAACGAGCAGCCACTCCACTGTCAACCAGAGCGCTCGTCTGATCCATCGTAGACGCCTTCTTCGTCTGCGGAGCATCTTCTCCATAATGTCTATCACGACTTTGACTTTCAGGGGCTGACCCAGCGCCAGGTCGCGGTTCGTCTCGTCTGCCAAATCAGCTGCTTTACGACTTCGTTCAGAAAGGTCGTCGGCAATGCTAGACCGAACGTCTCCGATGCGGTTTTGGAGCTGAGGACTTGTTCGGTAAGTGAGCTGATCAGCGGAGGCCTGCCACCGCCGACCAGAGTTTTGAATGGCGGTGGCGAGGGCACGGCCGGCTAGTGAGTAGAGTTCGTAGTATGCGGTTTCACGGTCTCCTTGCTGGGCTATTTCGGGACATATCTTGGCTATGTCTGCCCAGCCTATATTTGCGCTGTTGCCTGAAGATGGACCCGTCGCGGCTAAGCTATCTGGACAGAAAGGCTTGTGTGCCTCCTGCGCTCGGCGATTAATCTCCATTGCCTTGACGCCGGTACTGAGAACCAAGGCTCGCATACGGGCAATCTCACGACGAGTGAGTCGGGTCCGTTCTGTAGGCGTGGCTTTGTCTGCGATCGACCAGGGTCTGTTCTTGAACGATCGGCCATCGTCTTCTGGTCTAGATGAGCTAAGCCTAGAGCTCAAATGATTGCCTGCGTCTCCGACACCTTCTGGTGCACTGCCTTGTCGCGACTCTGTTTCTGAAATATCAGAGTCACCCGGCTTGGTGGATCGACGTCCGAGTAAAGCAGAAGATGACGCTCTTCGAGGATCGAAATGAGGCGGACGAAGCATATCAATCCGAGATTGCTGCCGGCTACGATTTGCAGAATCTGGCGAACCCAGGTCCACCTTGCTATTATCCGCGCTGTGTGCGCGATTAGGGTCTTGAATGGGATGGAACTGAGGCATAGAATCCAGGAAATGCTTCGGCTGACTCTGATGACCCGCAACATCGCGTTTGGAGGGCATCAGTGATACGTTTGTGGATGATCTAGACCGGCCGCGAGCCTTCTCACTCTCCGACTCATCTGTAGTCTCATTGTCAGGTGGAGATTCACTCGTCCCGTCTCTCCTCCAAAACATGTCGCCTAGTTTTGAAACACCACCCCGAATAACAGTGTCGATTCGCGGTCCCTTGAATATGCCACGAAGCCCAGCTCCTTGATCCTCACTGCGAAGGCGAGTGCTTCCCGACCTAAGGTGCATTTTAGTCTGACCAAAGGGTGTTGGCTCCGATGCCCCCGGCCGCGGGGGACTGGATTGCAGCTTCTCCAGTAAATTTGGGTTCTCCGAAGGCAGACTGGCATCCTTGGCAGACACATGATGGCTCCCATCTGGCTCGGGCGTTGCTTCACTAGCCTTGTTGTCGCGAATGATCTGCTTGATCTTGCTGATGGGATTCCTGGTTGGAGATCCAGACCGACTCCATCCTGGAGAAAGGTTGGTACCTAGCGTGGGATCCGTGCTTCCTCGGGTAGGCTTAAGGTCAGGAGAGGTTGGTAGCGATGAGCCCTTGTAAAAAGGAGACTTCTGCGGCCCGTCTGTAGCATCAAGACTTTGCCTCCCTAGCTCATACCGGGGTGGGGAGCCAAGGTAGGGTCGGTCCAGGACAGGCCTTCGATCGGAATCGCTTGTGTTGACCAATGAACTCTTGCTACTGCTGTGGAAGCGAGTAGGCAGCTGTGATAATGTGTTCTTTTCTGGTGTCTTGATACTACTCGGGGAAACAACCAGCTCCTGATCAGATATTGCATCAGACAAATCGCGGTCCCGTGCGTCCCTCGCAACCATCTCAAGCATCTGCTCCTGAAGAAAATCTCTGTTCGTCCTTGATATGGTCTCACCACCTCGGTTTCCCTCGCGAGACGTTCTTTTTGAGACTCCGGTATCATTCTCGCTACTGGAAATATCAGAAATAGTATCTTTGACATGCCACCCGAGGTCATGGTGGATATTGTGAAGCTGGCCGCCATGGCGATGTGGAAATGCCCTGATATTGTGCAGCGTTTGCTTCGCTGTGTCAACCTTGGAGGTGCTTGAAATCGACGGGTTCAAATCATGGTCGTCTTGCATTGAGAAATGAGGGATGACCTCGAGGGTGTCGACAGCCGTTTCGCGGGACATGGGCTGTGTCATGTTTGTAGTTGAAGGAAATATCTTGCGCCAGGTACGGTCCTCGATGAGTTCCTTGTGATTTTCTTGTTCCAGCCAGTACGCATCGGCCACGATATCACAGGGTTCAATGAACCAGTCCACCCGGGGCCTCCTCACTCGAGCCGCTGCCCTTGAGCTGTTATCCGGGGAGATTTGGCTATTTGGGTCATCCGCTCCTGGGAACCCAGGCAAAAGGGACTCGTTATCCTCTGGATGTGCTGCAAATGATGTCGCTCGTTCAACCACTTTGTCGACCCATGGTTTAACGCACTCCAGGTCGCCAAAACCCTGACTTTCTCCATCAATGACTTTCCGCTCGCGCGCTCGAACTTTCCGATTCCGAATGTATTGCAGCGGATTATATTGTCGCCCTAGAGGCACCCTGTCCCCAAGGCCAAACTGGAAGGGTCTACTCGCCATTGGGGAGACTGGAGGGCTTGAAGTCACCCGCTCAAGTCCAGGCTTTAGAGGTGGTAGAACATCAAGAAGTCTTCTGTATTGCGCCATCAGCTCTAGGTGATCCTTGGCTTTCTGTGCTCTGGCTAAAGTCGAGGATGAGAAGTGATATCGATAATGTGAATCATGCCCACCACCCTCGAAGCTCGAGTCAAATTTCCCAGAAGAGCGCCGTGCAGACTGGGCTTGTTGATATCTGGGACTGCCATTGTATGAAGACTTTCGTTGTTGCTGAAAGTGCTGTTGGAGATTGCTCCCTGAACTGCCATCAGGTAACGGCCCGAGTCGTGGGGGCGTATTTCGTGAGACATTTCGTCGCGAAGCGGTGCGTCGAGATTCGCTCAGGTTCAAAGCCATCTGCACAATTTGGGTTGATTCAGCATCATTAACGGCTTCTCCAGAAGTACGCGGTGGCTGGAACGGCTGCTCCGACTCTTCGCTGGTGACATCCTTCTGAGCAGACCCGCCGCTTCGACTCTCTACACTCTGAGGCGATATGCTACTCTTATCGCGCAAGCTTCCCCCAGAACGCTCGCTCGGTTGTAGCAACTGCCTGTTATTCGATCGTGAAGGCTGCGGCGTACGTGGGGACTGTGGTGCCTTGCCGTTTGGTTGTAGATTGTCCCTTGCAGACCCTCGACTTGCATGTCGTCTGCCACCGGAAATCGAGTCGTGGAGTAAGAAGCCGCCGCCATATTTGTATTTCGGTCTGCGCCGTGTACTCCCTCCCCTGTGGAGACCATCTCGATTGTTCTGGTCTGCCTGTGCAAGACCCGAGCCATGGTGTTGTTGGCTATCGCCAGTGTAGCTCGGTGAGAGACTAGTGCCTGAGATGAGCTCGCGCCGACCACCGCTGCGACTCGACTCCCCGGTCTCGTAGCTAAACCTGGGCCGACCCTGACTCTCTGGAGTCAAGAGACCGGTTCGGGAGTCGAAGTGGCCCGGCGGTCTTGGTGCATCGTGGTCCGCCATGGCGCCGGTGTTTGCCACATGCTTCAGGCGCACAGTAGACGAAGCAGGCGGCTGCAGCTCAGGTGCTTCGATTCACCATCTTCAGCCTCGGAGGGGAAGATACAGTGCACTAGTCTTCGGGAGAGAAGCAAAGCGTCGCCAGGAGAGGGAGAAGGGTCTGTTGATGGGGTCTGAATCTGAATGACGAAGCTGGAGACGCCCCTTGAAGCTTGAATCACTGGAGGTTCTCAGAAGTGGATGCAAATGCGGATACCGACTCCATCCAAGGAAGAGGGCGGGTGGCATGTGCCGGGGCAAGAGCCACCGACGACTGCATGCAGGGAGCTGGTGAACGTCTCCTCTTCAATGTTCAGTTTGCATCAGCTGTCACAGCAGTCGCAAAGGCCGGCAATTATTGACATGTACAAGACGTCGCCCTTCAAATGCCTGGCTGTTTTCTCCCCAGCCGGAACCGAGGGCTCTCACAAAACCAATCTCTATTGCCCGCGTCATTTGCACCGGCACGGGTAGCACAACGGCCCAACGGTGTGGCTGCGGACGTACCAACACCAGAGTCTTGAACGGCTTCCTGCAGCCACACACACTCCAGATGTGGCAGTATCAGCTGCCTAGCATGCAAGTGCGTGCATATCAACGCAGTACGGCGCCCAACAACTCAAAGAATCTGCAGGAGTCGGCGTTACCTCCCTGAGTAACCAATCAACAGACCTAATGCTGCAGCCCATCGCCATGCTGGCATGTGAGACTCGGACAAAAGCTCCCCTCTCTGAAGAGCCTACCTACAGTAGGTACGTCTGCTGATGTGTGCTGCCTTCACACAGGTGTTCAAGTTCATGGCGTATTCTCGTAAATGCTTTCTACTCTACATGATTGTGTGGTGATGTACACTCTACGTCTATTCATACAAAATGCGGACTCCAGGGACGCGTACCACCTACGCAGCAGCCGCGACATCAGCAACTGCATCCTCGCACCTATCACAAAGCCCATCTTCCTGCGCAGCAAGGTACCTCCAACACCTAGAGCACTTCGCCTGTCGCGGAGGTAGCACATGCACTATACCCCCAGGTGCCGCAGGGAGCTCGAATTCCCGTGTGTAGCACCACGCTCGTTCATCGTCCACTGTCCTGTTCACGTCCACATGTGATACTACAAACATCGCGTCAAGCTCGTCGGCGTATTCGTCAAGCAGGGTTGCCAACTCGTTGTTCTCAGTGTTGATAAGAACAGAACATTGAAGCGAACTGCCTAGGGCTTTCGCCTCGCGTGCTTGTTCCAAACCAGCCTTGACGGCAGCATGGACAATCCCGAGGGACACCGCATCGCGTCGGAGTTTGTCCGGGTCGACTGTTAGTCGGGATGGATCGATCAGCGGTGACTTGTATAGTTGCCGAGCTGGGTTTTCCAAGTTGCTACGTGGCTGTAGTTAGATCTTTGCGACTCTCCAACATGCACCGATAATAAAACTTACACATCATCAACCATCCACGACGGGCGATGGGACCATGCTTCCTCAACTAATACCGGTGTGATAGGTGCTAGCATGCGCAGGAACCCAATGAAGATGGGTTCAAGGGCGCCACCGCCGTCGCCGCAATACAGACGATCCTTGAGCGCCTCGAGATAGAAAGCAGACAGATCAGTAGCTACCCAGCGATTGATAAGGCCTGTTGCCTTGTGGAACTCGTAGTTATTGACAGCCTCCCAAACCTGAGCCATGGTGTCGGATAACTGCGCAATGGCCATTTGATCGAGCTTGGTAAGCGGAGCGCTGCGGCTGGACTCGTGCAGCGACCCGAGCACCATCTTCAGAATGGTACGATACTTGATGAGCGCGTTGTGAATTGGTTGCAGAATAGAAGGTCCAATCAAGATATCAGACGTAAAGTCACAGCTAGCAGCCCACAACCGTAGAGCATCCGCTCCAAGGGCGTCGAAACGAGGCGCCCCTTTACTACCACCTTTGCTTTTGTCCTTCAGCGGCGGCAGCAGTCGCCCATCTATTACCTCTTCAGGAACAATGGTATTGCCAAGTGACTTGGACATCTTCTTTCCCTGGGCGTCCAGAGTGAAGCCGTGAGTAATGAGCGTCCTGAAAGGCGGTTGGATATCTGCGTCCGACACACCATCCGCCTTTTGCGAAGCAACGTACGTTAGCAAACTCGACTGAAACCAGCCGCGATGTTGGTCCGAGCCCTCAAGGTAGACGTCGACAGGCTGCCCGATTTCCATCCAGCTGGTGCCGCTGTCGAACCATACATCCATGGTATCTGTGCCTCTCCGATATCCGCCCTGGAGATTTGCCGGCACCCAGGCGGGATCGTCAATCGGATCAGAGAACCACGCCTGCGACGTCCGCTGCTGCATCACAGAAATGATGTGCTCAATGGTTTCTTCGTCCATGACGGCATTGCCAGCCTCATCGTACAGGGCGGGAATTGGAACCCCCCATGACCGCTGCCGCGAGATGCACCACTCGCTTCTGCCCTTGACAAAGCTCTCAAGACGAGACCTCCCCGATTCCGGAACGAACCGCACGTTACTAAGTGCCTTCAGCGAACCCTCTTTTATCCGTCCCACGTCCGTGAACCATTGCGCGGTTGCTCTTACAACAACAGGCTGTTTCGTCCGCCAGTCGTACGGATACTTGTGCTGGATATCGTGCGTAGCGAGAACGTCCTCCTTTATCAATTCCAAGACGGCCTTGCCGCCGCCTTCCAAAATTGAAGGGGCGCCGGTGAGCAGGTCAGGCTGATCAGGGTACGCCTCCTGCGTAAAGAATCCTTCGTCTGTAATAGGAGCAAACGCCTCGATTCCAAGCCTAGCACACGCTTCATAATCATCCTGACCGTGTCCGGGCGCCATATGTACCAGCCCCGTGCCCGAATCAGCAGATACAAAGTCAGCATGAACAATGGGTTGCTCCGCCGCTGACTTGCCGAGCAGCGCATTTCGGTATCTCAACCCAGCTATCTCCGAACCGTAAATGGAGTCGGCCACAATCTCAAAAGGGGGGAGCAGTTCTCGCATAGCATCGGTACGGCTGGAGCCAACCAAGAGACCATAGTCGCCCACCCGTAACAACGAGTACAGCAACTTGTCATGAACTGCGATAGCCTTATTGGCAGGCAGTGTCCACGGCGTAGTCGTCCATATAGCAGCGTATATAGGACCGTCAAAGCCAGCAAGGGCCGGTATCGAACTCAAGTCCGCAACAATAGGAAACCTGACATATGCGGCATGGGAGATGTGGTCTTCTCGATACTCCAACTCGGCTTCCGCCAGCGCTGTCCTCGACGAGACGGACCAGTATACAGGCTTGTGCTTGCGGTAAATCAGCCCGTGGCGCACCATTTTCTGAAAGACCCTCAATTGGCGTATTTCGTATTCGCGGTCCATTGTGGTCCATTTGTTCTCCCAATCGGCCATGACTCCAAATGACTGGAATCCCTTCATTTGCTCTGTAATGGTCTTGCTAGCCAGCTTTCTTGCCGATTCGCGCACTTTGACAGGACTCAGTCCCCCTGCGGTGTTGGAGCCCAGGGCTTTCATCTCAATTGGGAGGCCATGGCAATCCCAGCTTGGCCTGTACACTACCCGCTTTCCGTTTTGCACCTGGCTGCGAACAATCATGTCCTTGAGGATCTTGTTGAGGGCATGGCCGATGTGTAGCGGGCCGTTGGCATATGGGGGGCCATCGTGCAGAACGAACTGGTCGTTCTGAGGACGGTTATTTGTCTGCCATTGGTATAGGTCGTCGCTGCAGTCCCGAAGATGTCGTCGTTGCAGCTTCGGATTCGGACGAGCCCTGCACCAAAAAGTTAGCGAGGTGCCTCGACTCGTGCTACATCCAGCGGGCTTGCACGCTTACGGAAAACTTGACTTGGGGAGCTTCAAGGTCGCTTTCCATGACTTGGACATCTTCGTCCTGTGTCATGGCCCAGTGCGTGCTGGTCGAGCTCGGCCGTGGCTTGTCAAAGCACGTCGTCGCAACCCGAGGAGTCGAGAAATTTGTCACTTTACGCGAGCCGACCAGCTTGAGCGCGTGTTGCGCTGCCAGACCCCAGAAGATTGGAGCTCGGGGTCCAGTTTAGCGCCGCCGGAGAGCACTTGACAGCACATGCATGACGTGGGGCAGGCAGTCAATAGTATTGACATTACTGATCAAAGATGTACGACCGTTGACAGCTCCTGGGACCGTGAACTTCGCTTCACAAGCTTCCGGTAAAGCCAGCACAGCATGGCGCCCATACGTCGCTATTTACGAATCACGAAATACTCTGTCCTAGAATGCCGCATATACCTAGACAACCCTTCACTCGCGCAGTCATGGCTTCTCAACCCGCGCAATGCCGTTCTGCCACGCATCATTGAAAACATCCGGCCGCTCGTGATTCCCAAGCTCCGCGAGGAAAAGGAACGAAGCAAGAAAAAGAGCTCTAAAAAGAAAAATATCAAGGACGTCATTGTTCAAGGTACGCGGGCACCGGGCAAATGACCTTGGGGACTCCCTACTAAAAAGCCTGCAGACGATTTTGAAGTGTCCATGTTCTTGACCGAAACGTCGACACGCCACTCTCTCCTGACAAAGAGGAAGCATTTCCGGGACAAGGGCCCCCGTATGATGCAGTCGAATTCTACAAAACTTATAGGCGAGACCAACATTGTTCCTGTTGACGTGGATGGCGAGGACGAGGTGTCTGGTTTACGGGAAGAAGATGGTGACGACGGCGATGACGTGAGGCTGTCAGACATTCCAGTTGCCAGCGCTCAGACGCGGTCCAAGAGACACAGGGACAATGACAACTCAAACGCAAGAGCCCAAAACAGCCATGTAGAGGCAGAAGGGCAAGATGCCATTGAAATTGATTCTGATGCAGACGAGCCGGCGTCGAAGCGGACACGGTTTCCCGACGGCCCGGACGAGGATGAAGACGAGGACGACAAGAAGAAGTTGACCATGGATGTGTATTACGAAGGATTCGCCATCTACGGGCGAGTGCTCTGTCTTGTCGTGAGGAAAAGAGAGAACAAGACCCCACGACCTCGACAAGACGGCGCCAACAAACCTGAAGGCCAAGCCAGTATGGAGAACTGGATCACCTCAACGCAGATCCCGGTCGGTGAAGATGTTCCCTGAAATACTCCGTACTATGGCATTCAATGACTCAAACACTCTCTCTTTACACGGCCAAAAGCACTGGGCTCATCACAAAGTCAAAACAGCATCAGAAACGGAAATCGCTGCTCTACCACACATGGCGCAATCCGTATGATGGCGAGTGCCTGGCCTGCCTTGTTTTCAAAACAACTTGCCCCAAAACCACGGGAGCGCGCGGCGTTTGCGTGCTGCAACCACGTCCACGTCAGCTATTCCTCGCTCGTACGGCCTTGTTCAGCAAGAGTCCCGGCTCCTTTCCAAACAACCTTGTGAAGCTCCTCCACGCCAAGACAAAAGCTGAACAAGATGTTCTGGCGTGTTAGTCGAAACAGCTGAACTGCCCCGCACGGAGAAAGTGTATGATCCCTATGCATGACACCTCCTGTTCACACAAGGGAACAGTCGGCACGATCCGTCATTTGAGTCCCCGAAAGGACAACCGGCATGAAACTCCCCTGGCCAGAATGCTGTACTCCCAACCCCTTACCAAGAGGAAGCATCGGCTTTTGCACAAATCTCCATCCTTAGCAGACGCCGGAATTGAGGGGGAAATGTCTCCAACGTTGGCGGAGAGGAACCGAAAAGTTTGTTTGTGATGGAGATTGGTCCTCCGTCCTGGGAGGGGAGGAGGGGTGGTGAGCCAGGGGTTCGAAAAGCAGAAGATGCCAAGTCTGATTGGCGCGATTGCGACCAATATGCTGGTCGACCGAGGTGCGGAGGTGCGAGGATAATTGTTTCTGAGACCCTTTTGTCTTGACTACTAGTTTCGACGTCACAATCCGGGCAGGTAATCAATCGCAAAAGTTGGTCATGTGGAATTGTATGTACACCCTGGACAGGGATTCAACGGGATGATGCGTTTTACCGCTCTTAGTTTCCCGGTGTCTGGTGGTGGCCATGGTCATCATCGCCGCCCTCGCGGGCCAATGTCGCCGCCGCTCATCATGTAGTATTGGTCTTTTTCCTTCTTCCTTTCAACTTTCTAAACTGCTCGAAACATCGTCTTTGCCAATGACTTGATCGGTTGGGGTGTGCTGCCTCCTCTCGTCCCATCACAAGTTTCGTCACGCGGGGTGTGTAGCACAAGTCACGTAGCACCAACATTCACTCACGAAAAAAAGTGAACTGACATGATGTCAATCTCATCTCCCAGGGGTGGTTATCACATTTTCCCTACCAACACCCCCAAAAAAATATGTGACAAAAATGCGCGGCTCGTGTCTCGTCTGACCAGGAACTGTCTCTCGCCCCGACTCGATAACTTGTCGGCAATCAGAGAACCTAGCTCCCGTCTCCGAGCCAAAGGGAGGGAGCAACGTCATTGGGGATGCTGGGGATAGTCGGCTCGGCAAACCTGGCCCAGTCTGACGAACACCCGAGGTTTCCGAACCGCAACTGCCCAGGCTAGGTAGCCAACATGTATGTACATACGGAGTACGGAGTACATATGGCAGGTGTTAAAAGCATGTCGTGACACATAGCCAAGGTGCAGGAGGGCATGTGTACTTGCTGTCCAAGTATCCGTTGCTCGCCGAGCCGTACATCGGCGTCCGAAGGTGAGGCGCTGGATATTGGAAGGCTGCGCTCGCGAGCCGCGCCAAGGTGGCCCGGACGGCTCGCTTGGTGGACCGATATCTCGATGATTATGGCGTCAAGTAGCATCATTGGCATCAATTCCGACATGTCCGTCTCAAGACCACACCCAACCCACATGCACCCACGGTGAGCGCGTAAGACGCCGCGGCCGGTGCGGCTTATCTTTCGAGTTTGTTGGCGTGATTGATTCCTGCCAAACCCTTGCATGATGCGGCGAGCCGTGTATGTAATTGCAAGGCGTCGCAAGTGAAGCCGTGCATGTTTGCATGCCTAGGCGTGTGCCTGGGTGGCGTGGGAAACGGGCCATGTCCATGCAAGGCGCACGTTTATTCAACGCGGGCTGGGCTGATGATTACACACGCCGTGGGAATGAAGGCGTCCTGAATACTGCAAAGGGACTGCGAAGCAACAGGCTTGCTTTTTATCCCGCACAGCCAAACAGAGAGCATGCCACCATATTCTGATTGTGCCGTGGAGAGACCGCCGAGTGCTTGCCTGGGCGCTACGGAGTACATATAAGTAAGTACCTTTGGGTACCCAGGTAAGGTCTGGACTCTGGTGTGTAACTAGACTGGATCTGGAGCTTGTAAGCCGAGCAAGTGATTACGAATGTCCAAATGAGAAGCCATGATTAAAACAGCCTTTACGGAGTATGCAGCGAGCATACCGACTCACAATGTGCATATGTACACCGTGCTTCAGCCAGCCAGGACAAGCCGTCAAGACCATCGAACAATTCCACATGCTTGAAAACCTCAGCTATGCGCCTCATGAGACCTCGTTGCGTAAGGTGTCCAATTGCCGTCCCGCAAGCCAACTCGGCCGCATCTCTGCAACAGCGAAAGGTGAGAAACGATCGGCCAGGGCCAACGGGCGTAGTGATTGGTTAGAGCCCCTGGTTTCCACGTGGCGGCGTCGAGCTTGGAATGTCAAGTGCACATGTGCATTTTGGATTGACGGTTCCGTTGATCGGCCCGGAGCACGGCGTCATGTCCGACTGCCGAAACCCAGTAGTAAATGTCTGGTGGTTTTGTTTTCCCATGATGCCTCTCCAAGTTGCAAGGCGCACTCCGCACATCCATTGGCTCGATTATCACCACAACGGCTTCACACCAATGCACGCACGGCAAAGTGGTCAGCAAGTGAAACCCCTCCAGGCACCCCATAGCCTGGAATATGCCGTGAGATACTAGTATAGAGTTTCGCCAGAATGTCACTCCGGTTTGCCGTAAATAGAATGAAGACGACAGCCGTTACGCAGCCCGAACATAGACTGAGTGTGCTTGGATCGCTTATTGGCCGACGAGGCTGTTGACCCCGCTACCGATTATCTTTGTATATAAATAGCTTCCGACGGGTGAGGGCATTTGGCTGTGCAAGTACAAATGTATGTACGTGCCGAGATGCCAAGCCTGATGACTTTCGGGCGACTTTTCCCAAGAGAAGACATCGGAAAGGGCCCTCGGAACGGCTGATAGTCAGTGCGCCGCCGGTTGAGGAGGAAGAGTCTGGAAGATTGAGCTTGGAAGTCCAAGTGCGCTCTCCGTCGTCGGTACAAGTCTGAATCCTTTCAATACCATCGAGATCAGTTCAACGCCCGTGTCTCTGCATCTCCTGGCACTGGTGATACAAGGCTGCGGGGCCATGCCAATCCTCCCAGTCAAGGCTGACGAGTTTGAAAGCCGTCTCAACCTTGTATTTGGCAGGTCCATGTCGCGTTATGACCGAAATGTGATACGCACCAGTGAATCGACATGCATGGCCCTGGTTGGCTTTTTTTTTCTCAATACACCAAACATTGCCAAAGTCTGAGCGTCATCGATTAAGGTTCTCTTGGCAGAACCGGCATCTTCCTGGCAATGCTGACATTGTTCACCAGCTTTCGGTTCATCTGCATTGCCGAGCGGGTGAACGCATGTATGTACATACACCAACTGCCTCGCAGCCGAGACTTGGGATGAAATTGATACCCTGGACGACAGACACGCACGCCTTGCACGAATGGAGAAGGTAGCCAGAGAGGGAAAAAGCCTCAGCCTGAAACCCACGACATGGTCTTGATTGTATGTATGTACATATGTACACATACGAGCCCGGAAAGGGACCCAGCGATGAGCTGACGCTCGTTCAGGGCGTGGCGAACCAGCCTCACCAAGGCTCTCCATCCGCTGCAGGATTCATAGATAGTACATGCCGTCGTTTACGAAAGGGGCAAACGTGATAATTCGGATACGCATTACACTCCGCACCGAGTACCCTTTCTCGGGATGCACCTAGCGCGACCGCGAGGTGAGACACACGTGGGAGTATCACCGGCGGTAATAAGGACCAGCTACTCCGTATATGTGGTGCTATTAGTGAAATGCATCGTTTCCTCAGTCCGCGGCCGCAGCGCTGAACAATAGTGCAACCTGATGCAACCCCGAACCAAAATATGCAATGCATCCCGCGGGAGCACCAGTGGTTCTGGAAGTCAGGTCGCGTCTTACACATGACACCTGCGTGCGCAGAATCCAGAACCAGCGCGGCTGCGTGGTGCACGAACACGACTCGGCTTCGACACAGGAGGCTATCGATGCGCCCGTCCCAGCCGGCTGGTTCAGAGACAAGCATCGGGGTCTAGCATCCCAGTCTCTGGGTCGTGCTTTTGCGGAGTAGCAGGGCCAGAACCCCCACGCAGGGTTTCAATGTTCGTCTTCATGTTGCACAGGGACAGCAACCCAGCGATTCTGCTGCTGTCACAACCGTCAGCATCCCGATGCTCAACTTCACCAGTCCCCGTTGACGCTGGGCAGGATGACTTACGACACCGTCAGCCGTGATCCGACAGCCAAAAAAACAGAAACCTAGGTACCCCTGTCACGCTATGATCTATGCAAAATTTTGAGCCTGGCTCAGTCCCTCAGAAGTATTGGAATCATCATGTTGCTGAAACTGGAAGTCGGGAGCTCAGGCTTCCACCCGGGAGGGTTTGCGGCAAGGCCGAAGTTCCTCTCCTCGGTGCCGTGGAGGTCCAGCATGGCAGTAATGATTGATTTGCGTCCGAATGGAGTAGAGTGCCCATGTACCCAGCCATCATGCATAATCGCCTTGTGCTGAGAATGCCGCTGATGGTCGCTGTCAACGTTGGAAGCTTTGACTAGGCGACAGGGAAGAAAGAAGAAGGAAGGGGGAAAAGGATACGAGACCAAAAAAGCAATTACTCGTTAAATTGCATTGAAAAAAAAGCGGCCGTGCTCTTTTAATTGGCAATGTACGGGCGCATGCACGCATGGGCAAGCCTCAAGCTCAGGCCACGGAATTAATCATTTCGTCCAGATGTCCTCATCAATGCTCATCTCGGCACCGACCACCCCGACTTCCCATTTTGCTGGTAAATAATG